ATGAGTACATGTATACCCCCATGAGTACATGTATATTCCCATGAGTTTGAGCATGAATACTTCTGCTTGACTACAAGTCTGAGCGCATGGATTTTTTTTTCATGTGAGTAGGATTAAATGGATATGTTTGTGAGGAAAGAAAACAGAAATACAATTCACAGAAAAAGGTGAAGCATAAAAATTCTAAAAAATATGGTATACAAAGGAAGCAGTTTTTAAATTTTATCCAAGCTGTCTAGTCAGCTCCAACATTTTAATACAATGTACGTGCTGATCCATCAAGCTTGCTCAAAATTCACTGAGCACTTCCTCTTACTGATAGCTTTTTTTTTTTGCTGGTAGGGTCAAAAGTAGGCATAATTACCCTATCTGCTCTGCACACAAATGCAAGGCTTTCATTGGCAAGGCAGACAGAGACTTGTGGGCAAATGTTTCAAATGGGTGCATGATGCCAGCACAAAGATCATGTTTTCCATGAAAACTGACCATGTATTTACACCATGAAGGTGCAAACCTTGTCTCATGTGCAAGCAGTGTGTTCAGTTGCAAATGAACCCAAGGGTTACTTAGTCTCCCTTTCAAGCCAGCTCTTACCCCAGCGAATGCTCAAATCTATTGTGCGCTGCACCAGGGAAGACTAAGTAGCTACAGCCAAGTTGCTTGATGTAACGCAACCTCTGGAACTGTGGAGTGTCAATGATTTGCACGCACAGAGGATGCACCTCCATGTGGCCATGAATAGGGTCATTAAATACCTGCCACAAAAAGGCAGAACAGAGTGTAATAAATCATAAATGACAGAACATTTGCATAACACAGCAGAATACGGCCCAGCACAGTCAATCACAAGACAGCACAGTGACAACAAAAGCACAGTGGAACGCTATAAGCACAGTACATGTACATGTATATCATTAGACAGTGCAGTGGAGCAAAAAATCCCAGGGCTGGATCATCCAACAGACACAGGAGCTGTGGCAAAAAATGAAACAAAAAAAACCCTGAAGGCCTACAAACATACCGCAGTTTGCCATGCAGTTCCCCCATCCACATCAACAACAACACATGAACTTTTAGACTCTTAAAAGCTTCTTTCAGACTCTCTCTATCGAAATTCAACTTTGGGAAACCTAGCGCATGCATACTAGTACACAGCTTATATTGTACAATTTTGCGGCAACACAACATAAATTGCTACGGCATTTACGAAATTTGTGCCAATGCCTTGGCAGAGCAGAGCAGAGCATGCACAGCATTAATGCCTAGGGCCTGTATCGTGGAACACTTAATCTGGCCCTGCAACTAAGACAAGCTGAACAAAGCAGAGATACATGTACATGTCTGTACAGAAGATCACAGCACAATAGAACAGGACAAAGAGCAGTACAGCAAAGCACAGAACAGAAGAGAGGACCCCATACAGTGAGTCACTCCAGAGAGGAACCCATACAGTGAGTCACTCCAGCAGAATACTGCGGCAGATCACAACACAGAAAAGCTGCAACATTTGTTGTGAGATTCAACAACAAAATTGAATGAACAAACCTTCAAGGAATCTATGAAGACTTTAGGCCTTGAATTGTCTTGTAATTTCTTCAGAAACTGAAACTCTTCAAGCAACTCTAAACGTTTTCCCAAGGACCTGTGGTAACAGTGAAAAGGTGTAAGGCGTATGAAATAAGAAAACAAACATTCTGTAGCACAGTAGCACAGTCAATACAGAATGGCTAAAACATTAATGATGAAGGGAGGGAAATTTTCTGATTGCAGTGCACCTAAAGACCAAATCCCAAACACTTCAATTTTCTTACCTTACACCAACTTTCTTTTGAAGCAATTCTTCTGTTAGCTTGTCCAGAACTTTTCCAGATATCTCTTCTTCTGTTCACAAAGAAAAACGAACTTGAATTTTCCATACAGCACTCTTACAAGCAGACCTATAGCCAGAAAAAATTTCTTTTCTGTAGTACATAACAATGAGAAAAAAAACATCTCACAAAACTCCTGTGCTTTACATTTGTTTTTTATGCAATGCTATGCAACCACACACAAAATTATTTTGGGCTTCATATAAAGTTGCAGCTGGACAGGCTATGAAAACCAACCTATTTTACCCATCAAGAGATACACAAGGTTGACTCTTGAGCAAATGACGACAAATGGAACTGATAAGCCAGCCATAAAATGCTGGAACAGTTCCAGTTTCAACTTAAAATACCCTGGTTAGGTTAAGAACAAATCTGACGATTGTATCAAGCCATCTTCTTACTTTGGAACAGCCGTGCCTCATGAGTAAAGCCTTTGGCCATCAGATACTTGGAGACATCTTCTGCCGTCCAATTTTCACAGTCGGCAAAGTCAAATTTGTCGTCCAGGCTGTTACAACCATTGCAAGATGACAGGTTTCCTTCGGAAAGTTTCCGTTTGGAACGACTGGAGGACATTTTGGCACAGGGAAAGTGACTTCACTCAGACCGGAATGTTTGAGGGAGGTGGGATCTTCGGGAATCCTTGTCCTGTCCATGAGAATTGCAAATCACAAAGATTTGGAGGCAACTTGTACCCGGGTGAATTCCTACCCAGGTTAGCTATTACCTCGGTCAACTCATACCCGGGTCATTCTATAAATTCAAGGTCAAAAAGTGTGACATTTTTGTGTCCCTGTTACACCTGGCCTGTGTAATTTGACGTGGAAATATTACTGAAATGGATTTCAAACCGACTTCTATCTGTTTAGCAGGTAATTTGCATCAAATCATCACTCTTTAAAATTAGAGAATGTATTCTGAACTTACAAATCATACATGCATGTCAGATGTGACAGGGATGGGACATGACAAAATGTGGTACCCCGGTTAACTCCTACCCAGGTTAAATCTCACTTCCCTCTGAAGTTGTATCTCAGCAATGTAAAACCATGCAACCAACTCAACTCAGGAAACTGTGACTGTTCAGACAACCCAACCAATCGGACTACCTGACTGCTTATGCATCAAATGGAACTCTACAAGTCGTCCATTGAGGTACCGGTAAGTTACGTACAAACTGCCTCGGGCATGAGGGTAAAAATAACCATGGTGGGAGTTGACCAATGTCAATTTGAAACTAGTTATGAGAAAGAACAGGAAGTTATTGTAGAAAAATGTGTGCGGCTAACCACACCGCAGCAAATTGAAATTTGTGCTTTTTTTAATCTACACCTATACATGTAGATCTGTCTTCCTGGTCATATGTTATTGCAATGTCTCTCTTTGCGGAGGAACCATTACCAAAATCAGTCAAGAGTCATCAGTAGGAAAGATGACTCTTGACTCTTTATTACACACAATGACTAATTTAGTCAGGATGATCTACATGTACATGTCGGTCGTGCCTATGCCTCATTTTCCCTCTAGGGGGAGGCTAACATTAGTGTGAGCCGCCATCATGCTCAGAGCCACCCTCCCCATAATCTTGTATTTGGCATCGGAAGAGTGGAACAAAGAGCTCTTCTGCTTCTGTGTCTACTTCCATGTTACTTCCAGAACTGTAAAGTTTTTACAAACCTCACTGGTAGCGATGTACAAATTCCTATAAACACATTTTAGCTGTATTGATTGTGCCAACTTACCCTTCCATCACAGCTACATGTAGTTGTGCAACCAAATTCCATACATGCCTTCTTGGTGAAGTTACAATGTACATGTAGATGTCAGATGGGGAGGTTTATTTACCTTATATCCTCATTAAAATGGTGAAATTCTTGAGCATTTTGCCCATCGACACTACAGAAAGTCAAAGCATCACTGAGCATGTGCTCTCCATAACTATCAGCTGTGTGATAGTGTAGCACGGAAAAATGGCACCCTAAACTAAATCTGAATAAACTAAAAAACCAGACCAGAATTTGGGTAACTCGCTGAAAAAAAATCAAATTTGATCGGGTAGGGAGGAGTCGCAAGGAAAATTTGGGGCAGGCAAACGACAGCAAATTTTATAGAAAGGAGGAAAAAACACAAAAAATGAAATTTCAAAATTTATTGATAAGGGGCAATGCTCAACAGAATCCAAACAAAGATACAGTGTACATAAAAAAAGAACTGTTTAACCACAAACTCAATCAAACCTGTGACCTAAAAAATGAAGAACCAGTGTGATGTCTGGGCAGAATGGGACTAAATTAACTTTGATCTTCAAAAAAAAATGCACTTACATGTAATTAAATTACCTCAAACTAAAAAATAAATAAATGCTAATGAAACTTTGCTGGTCAAGAGAAGTTGGATACTGTGACTTTCTGTAGTGTGGATGGGCAAAATGCTCAAGAATTTCACCATTTTAATGAGGATATAAGGTGAATAAACCTCCCCATCTGACATCTAAGTTCACCAAGAAGGCATGTACGGAATTTGGTTGCACAACTAGCTGTGATGGAAGAGTAAGTTGGCACAATCAAAACAGCTAAAATGTGTTTATGGGAGCTTGTACATGCATATATCCAGTGTTGTAGTACTCATATCGGTACTCGTACTCGAGTACTACTCGAGTACCGTTTTCAGAGTACTTGTACTTGGACGTCCAAGTACTCGTACTCGAGCTACAGTTCTTATACTCGAGCTACAAAATACTTGGAACTCGACATCCAAAAATTGTACTCGAGCATCAGAGTACTCGTACTCAATTAACAGTACTCGATAAAAAATCCTTTAAGTTAACTTACCACTGCCGTTAAAGTAAGGTACAAAAATATCGACTCCAATATTCGATACGGTTCCGACAAAGAGAAGGCCGAACGTGGGACCATTAACGTATACTACCCATTCGCCATCTGTGCGCATACTTAATTAATCACGTATGCAAATTATATTGTTGTACTTCAGAATGGTCCCGCGATTTACTTGGGCATTGGTAGTCTGGTTCCTGGACCCGAAAATTCTAACAATGAACCCAGCATGCAGAAAATCACAGGCATGTGAATAACTGAGTCTGGAAATCAGACTTCGCAGCACCGTGCACGTTGTGTCAACTACTGCAACGCACGTGTAGTGATCGTGACATTGCTAGCCAGATCACTTGTTCTTGTAGCCATGTCATCTGCATTCAGTGTTTCTTTTACACAGTGGCAGGTCTTAGAGTCTCTAATTTAAGATAAAACTACTTTTGAATTAGAAGTACTTGTACTTGTACTCGGAATTAGAAGTACTTGTACTTGTACTCGTACTAGGAAGTGCAAGTACATGTACATGTACTTGTACTCGGAAACCAGTACTTGTACTAAGCTGGCAAAGTACTGGGCAGTACTTGGTGCTCGGACAAAAGTACTCGACTACAACACTGCATACATCTATCTCTAAAATAAGGTTTGTATAAACCTTACAGTTCTGGAAGTACCTCCATGTGGGTGCTAATCATTATACAAACACCTCCAGATGGTGGTTACATTCAGCATAATTTTGACCCTTGCGTAAATTTACTGCACTCCCTCCTATGAATGGATTTCATTCAAATATGTCAAGTGGAAATACTCAGAATTAAGGAGTACTATAAATTTGAGCATGATTCAAGATTGCACTTAACAGTTACCGAAAATGGTTGAACCAATATGCAGAGCAAGCACTGTCACTGATGGGTTCAACGCATGCACAGTCTGATAAACATGAATGGCATGAACGTAGCGTAGGGACAGTCAACGGGTGGAAGCGAGAAATTGGTGAGCAGAAATCTCACTTTTTTTCACAAATGCTCAATCTGATGCTCTGAAACCTTGTTATCCTGCTTTTGAAGAGGTATAGATTAATCTGATTTGCAGACAGGGGAAATTTGATTTAGTACATGAACATGTAGCTTTCTAACACCAGTGAATTATTTCACCACAAAAATCCGATTCCAAAACCCTATAGCGTCACCACACCACGCAACCAGCTGGAAAAAATAATCACACAGACATGACGGAGTACCATGACTTTGAGTACATCGAGTTCTCAAAGTTGAGGTACACGTACAGTAAAGGACTAAATTGAGCGTCAGCTCAGGGAAACCGAACACTTTGTGGTGTTTAATACAAACTCAAAAATCGTAGTGACCGTATATAGGACTATATCAGTTTGATTAAGATTCTTTTGCGGGTACCCGCAGGCCGCAAGGCAGGCATGGGCCTCAGAACCGCCGCGCGCGCCCCGCCTGGCCGATAACATCTTACAACATTGAAATTTGCACGGTACTGGGTCTCTCGACGTGGACTACCGCGGTACCGGTAGTGTTTAATGCACTTGCACTTAACTCCACTTTATTTTCGCATAAGAGTGAATTATAAGAAACATTATGTGAGGTCTACGATTTCAACCCTTTGTGGTGGGTAAAATTCAATATTCTAAACAGAAGTAAGAAGATATCTAAAACGACTAACTTACCTCCAAACTCTATGTACCCACACAGTACACGTAGCTTCCCCCAAGATTTGGAAGCTAGCCAGTGAATGAAAGATTGTTCCCAGCCCGGCCGGCCTAGCTAGCTAGCGCCCAGGCTGCACCTAGTACCTGGCGCGGCTGATCTCGATTTTCGAGAGCGTCCTCTATTGACAGGATCCTGCTAATGTTCGAGTTGCGCCAACACGTTCATGACGTTGACACGTACACTGTACATATATACTTCGGACCTTCACTTTTCTTGTGGAATAAATACATGTTTTTGTATTTAATTTAGATTATTTGGCGAAGCTGGTGTGGATAAGGAACTGGTTTGTCGTAAGTACTAAGTGTTTCAATACGCAGATCTTGTAAAATGAAATTTGTAAAACTCAACCAGCCGCGTACCCCATGGCCCACTGTGTGGAGGAAATGACTTGCATGTTTAATTCGAAGTCGCGAGTCACGTTTCCTAGCACGTGCGCGCGCAGGGGGTGCATGTCTAGTCTCTACGTCTGGAAGCAGTAAACTTTAAGGGCCAGACTCGATCGACCGCTCGATCTTTGCACGATCAGTCCATTCTACCTCCATGATCAGTCGATCTTATTGCACGAATTGCGCCATTAGTAGACCGCCTTTTCTTTCTTGAATTTACGGTTGAAAAAGATCGTTTCAAAAAAGGGAAACTTGTACTAAATACTGAGTAAAGGTTGTCAATAATGTCATGTTTGAGATTTCAGGTAGGGTCGACATGGGTCGACCATGCAGATCGACCAGTCCGCACCCAAGATATATGGGGCTCATGCCTTGCCCCTTGGTATTAGTATTAAATATTAAATAGAAACGTGCATGCAGCCAAAGAATAAAGATGTGCTCTTGATGTGCGTACCCTAACGTGGCCGTGGCATGGTGGCGCTGCTCCTAACGTGACGCACTTTCATTTTTCACATTTTGTGTCTTACAGTAATGTTTTCAACTCAAATTTTACAATTACTGAAACTTCATCAAATTTCCAATGGTCTGATTCATGTGATTGATAAATCTTAAATTACAAGATTTGGATGAAGTTTTATATTTGCCTGAATTTCTTATTTTTTTCCTTGAAATGAACTCTTTTAATGCATGTAGGCCTATGTGCCTGTAGTATCCTGCACTCTTACAGGTCCACTCCTGACCACCATAACTCAACCCAGCAACAGTACCCTTTTAAGATTGTCCTTGTAGCTCTGCCCTCCTCTGGATCCTAATGGCCCCACCTGTTATACATCAATCATTGTACCCCATGAGACCTAGCCCCCTTGTATAGAGTGTACATGTACCCTATATGTATGTAATATACATGTAGTTGTACTCCTGCATCTGACACACAAGAAAGCAAAGCCTTAGGTCGAATTTTTAAAGATCTTTTCAAGTTGGTCACAACACTTGGCTGAATTCGAGCCCAGTTTCCAAATGCTGACAGTTTTGGATTTCAAGGAAATTTCATGGCACCGATATTGTTCACAAAGGTTCAACACCTTATATCATGAAGGCAGTAGTACCAGATGAGTTTAAAGTGTTTCAAGACAGAAGTTTGGCAACCCTGTGTGAGGAAAGTCAAGTGAACGTCGCAGTGTGCCGTTAGGGGACTCTACTAATCTTGACTCTGGCTCAGATTTATTGTACTCCCTCCTGAGTTGATTATCCTACATGTATGAATTGATTTTATTCAGAGGCATATCAATTCAGGTGGAGTACAGGCACAGTAGGCCTAAATTTGCACAAGTTTCAAGATTGCACTGAACAAAGACATAGGCCTACACATACGTACATGTACATGTACTTCTAGATATACATGTACCTGTCTAGCAAAGGAAGAGGATACATGCTGAGTGCTAGGATTGATAACTATGGTGCTGTTTAGTCTCTTGAACCATTTTAAAGAGTGTCGTAGGGTCTGGAACACTCGTGATAAATTGTTAAACTGTAAAATAGTATTTTTGTACCAGTACAGCAACTGTACACATTGCAGTAGCTGGCTCCAGGGTTGTCCATTTGGACTCATAATTTTTTCCCAACTCTCATTTGTTATACATTGCTAGTTTGTTGCTTCATTCTGAGAGTGCCCTGACTCCGTAACTGCATTGCTGGCTACTGGGTAGCATTTGGACTCAAGACTTTTTCTTCTCCAACATCAGTCCTACTAGCCCTGTAGCACAAACAGAGTACTCAGCTGGACCTTTTGTCATTCCCGGTACATACATGTACATACGGTACATGTAAATGACAGGGTGTTCTCCAATCACTCCATCCCATGAGTGTTTTGGGGATGAAACATTTTGACAATTTCATGTCTGATTCCGTACCGACATGGTTATTGTGAATTCATATTCACTAGCAAGTGATGTAGCAAGACTTCCTCAGAGGGGGTTTACATGTAGTCGCTCCTTTCATATATGGAAGCCCTGGTTACAACAAAGTAATTTATCTGATCCCTGTAACTTTGTTATGTTGAAAGTTGACTGCATGTATTTTAAGATGACATCCTACATGCAGCAGAAATATAACCCACCAGGAAATAGGCTCTTTGTACTTATTCTTTATTGTTACACGTAGCTCATTATCGCAATGCGATAATCCGATACGTGTAAACACGGTCACTCTACAACATGGTACCCAGATATGGTACATGTATGCCGCATACATGTACATGTACCATATCTGGGTACCGTGTTGTAGAGTGAGCGTTGAGGTCCTGGTTGAACTTCGTGCAGTGAGTAGTTGACCTTTGCTACATGTACATGTATGTACACAAAAGCAGTGACACTGCTCTTTTTGTAAGCATCAGACATGTATATGTATGTTATGGAATGCAATTAGGCTTACTACAAGGCAGGAAACAAATTTTTAAACTTTGGCTTGCGTGCGGTGTGCCCCACTTTGGACACCTGAAAAAAAAAGAAAGACCCAAATTTGTGATTACTGGAAGCTTGGTAGTCTTGAGTAACACTGCCCCTAATGTTCAATTGCTCATCACATCTGAAATCATAAAGTTGCATAAATTTGCAGTTGGGCTTGTTCCCTGTTATGCCCTTTAAAAATAATTTTCTTGATGAGCCACTAATCACTTCAATAAAGACCTGAATGGAATTCTTTAAAAGGGATAATTTTTGCACCTTTTTTCGACAGAAAGCCCTCAGAATTGTGGGTTGGAAGAATAGCATACCAACCAGCAGTAGCCTATGCACTCTTTAAATTTTTGAGGGGAAAAAGTTCCATCCGTTCCTTTACTTATTTTTTATATGACATTAAAACTACCCAAAAGTGTGAATCTCATGAAGAGATAATGTGGGGAGGGGGAATTCAAATTTTCTTGGAAAATATGTATACTTACACTGTTTCTGTCATGGCCTATAGACTTTGTGAATGCGCATGTCCAAATGTTTATATAAATTGTAACAATCCCCTTTGTCTCAGAATCATTGGTGTTATACATGTACATGTAGACAGGTAGAATTTTAGATCATAAATGCTTTTTGGGTGAAACATGTCATGAGATTGATGTAAATTTCCCTCAGTGTACACATTACTCGTTTTGCTTTATTGTTTGCAGATTGACTTCCACAGTAGGTCATATGAGGTACAAGTAGCCAAGAAGTACGTACAAAGTATGTAGAACAGGTTTGTGATCTGTTAGATACGAACGTAAATCAGATCTGTGACCACAATGGCAAAAGAAGAAGTGAAGAGTCCCCTGAATGTCCGTACTCCGGTGGTCATCTTGACCACCCTTTTTGGTATTGGCTCCTGGATTGCCATCAATGGCCTCTGGGTAGAGCTCCCCCTCTTGGTCTCGCTGGACATCCCTGAGAACTACAGCCTGGCCTCCTACCTGACGGTGATCATCCAGCTAGCCAACGTGGGGCCCCTGGCCTTCTCCCTGACGCACTTCTTCCTGTTGAAGGGCAAGCGCATTGAGATACCCACCGTCTTCATCATTGTCAGCCTGGGCTGTGCCTCCACCCTTCTGCTGGTCTTCTTCTGGGACCGCTACACCGTGTGGCAGGTGGACGGTAAACTCCACAGCACAGCGCTGCTGGTCCTGGCCTTCTTCCTGTCCATTGTGGACTGCACCTCCTCGGTGGCCTTCACCCCCTTCATGTCCCTGCTCAAGAGCTCCTACCTAACTTGGTACTTCATTGGGGAGGGCCTGAGCTCGCTCCTGCCCAGTGTCATGGCACTGATCCAGGGCGTTGGGAGCGTGGAGTGCACGGCCAATGGCACTTACGTCAATCACACTGTTATTGGCAACGAGACCATCTGGCAGAATTGTACCCACTGGGTCAGCAGGAACTCGGCCGCCCGCTTCCCTCCTCAAGACTTCTTTGGGTTCCTCTTTGCCATGATGCTGACGTGCGGCATCGCCTTCACCATGCTGAATTACCTTCCACTGGCCAAAAAGGAACACATCCAGGGTCGGCCGGCATCACAATCAACGTCTTCAGCAGGCTCTGATTCCTCAACTTCCTCTGAGAGCCACTCCCTTGTTGCCCGCTCTGCAAGGAATCCAGGCACTCCCGCTTACGGAGACGAAGCCCAGGACATGCTGCCGGCACCCAAGGAGAATGCAGAAGAAAGCACCCTGGATAGCAGCAAGCCTCCCACCGACTACCGACTCCTGACCAAGAGACAGCTGATCTACCTTTACGCAGTCCTGTGTTTTGTCTGTGCACTTAGTAATGGTGTTCTGCCATCCATCCAGTCCTTCTCCTGTGGGCCCTACGGCCTCAACACGTACTTACTGGCCTCAACCTTGGCCAACATAGCCAATCCACTGGCTGCAACTCTGGTCATGCTGGTGCCGTCCACAAATCTTGCCTTGGTAGGGATGACAGCCCTGTTTGGAACAGCATTTGGTGCATATTGCATGTTGACGGCAGCTCTCAGCCCTACACCACCTTTACAGCATGAACCTATAGGCAGCGCATTAATCGTAAGTCAAGTTTTTCTGTTCTTTGTTTTACTCTTACCTTCAGGGTACAGAAAAACATGCAAAACAAAAGTAGGCCAAATTTATTCTTCAGCCAACAAAATTCTCCCAAACCTTCATGGAGCAAAGACGAGGTCCTTAGTATTCCACCAGCTAAAGTTGAGCACCAGTTAAACTTTGCAGTCTTTCCTTCATTATTTCCCCCCCCCCCCGAGAGAGACACCAAGTGATTTCATTTGGAAGCCCATACGTGTACCTTACATGTACATGAAAAACATTTAGAAAAGATTGGCCATTTGGTCTGTTGGCTTAGTTCTGGAGAGAATGTGTCGGACTAGAAGCTAGGTGCCAGATCTTTCTTGTGATGCAGTCGATAAAATACTTACATGTAATAACGGGTGTAAAACTACATTGTACTTTAGTGAATGGTCTCTCAAAGAAGAATGGTTTATCATCTTAGGTTTGCTTCTGTTTCACCATGCTAAGATTGGACCTGTCATTCACAGTATTGAGAGTCCCAATTTTTTGGACTAGGGTTGCATTATAGAAACATGTAGAAATGGTGCCAAAAACGTTGTGAAAGTACCTGTAATTATGGGGACAGATTCCTGGTAAATGTTGATTTGGATCAGTGTCTCTCTCTCTCTCTCGCAGACGCTTGCCTTTGACCATGTCACTTGATAATGTCCAGTTGCAGTTTCATGAATCAAGCCGTGATAGTGTCACTAATCGTGTCCAATTCCTCAGATCCTGGCGTGGATTTTGATGACGGGCCTCTTCGTCTACACTAAGGCCACCATCGCTTGGATCCTGCGCACCCAGCCCAACAGCCGTGGCCTCCTGATCTGGTATGGTGGAATCACACAGGTGGGGTCTCTGGTCGGTTCCTTCGTCATGTGGCCTCTCGTCAACGTGGCCAAGGTGTTTCATCCCTCCTACGAAGACCCATGTGAGGGTTACCCCAGGTGTGAGCTGGTTGAGGCAACCGTATCTTACTCGGAGCTGTAGCCAAAGAGTTCTCAAGAAGTTGGATTTGCGAGATTCATTTTTCATTCCCAGCACAAACACATGTGCCTCTGTACTTCATATCAACCAACACCAGCAACTGGTGTGTGCTTATAGAAAGTGATTGCGGGTCCGTTTCCATGGTTTTCTGATGTGTTATTATGTACAATGAGATAAAAATAGCATTATAAGTAATGTTATAAAAAGTGCTTGATAAGCATGCATTATACAGTACTGCTTTTTTATACTTGCTTACTGTGTATAGCTTTTCCATATGTGTACTGCAAGTTGGATCTAACTGTATGTGCTTGCTTAAATAACTGCCCATTATTCATCTTTCACTGAAATGAGTTCCACTAGTATTTTGTAAAGCGTTGTCCACTGTCATAATACTGAATGTTGAGTTGTAATGCTTGGGTTGTGTTTTATTTTCCTTTAGGAGAAAATGTGTTATGTACATGTGTTGTACATTTAACTGGTCCCGGGACCTGCAGGGAATTGATACGTATGTGCACCAAGCTTCTTAATGAAATCTGAAAATTTTGAAACGATTGTTGTTAGTCTGTATCTTTCTGAAAGGAAAAAATTTACGTAGATGTGTAATCTTGTATTTGGATTCGCGCCAGTTACAAATCGTCCAGAGTCAAGGGAGAAGTTTATTGAAGGTGGCAATTGTTTCAAAGACATTCCTTTCTCATTGTTCATTCCCCGTGATGGGAACCCGACTTGTGGCTTGAGATGAACTCAGCCAGAAGTCGATCCCTTTCAGTGTTTTTCACTCTGAACATATTCTTGGCAAAATACAACAAAACCCAACAGCTGCAAACTGTTGAAGCATGCCGAATCTAACAGAAACCAGCAGTCAGAACAACTGTTTAATTAACCCTGTCCTAAATAGTGAAGTCTGACACACATGTAAGGGTGGAACGTTTACAGTTTAAAGCGTTTAAACAAAAAAGTTCCAAATCCGTTTACAGATTTTCCCAAATGTTTTATAAACGAAATCGCCCCTTTTAGAGGTTTGATGTTTTGATTGATGCAATCTGGCGTTCATTTTTATTGTAAACTATGCCTGTTACGTGCTGTTTTTTCCCCTATCGGCTTCCATACGTTTGAGAAAAAATGAATTCTAAAACAATAGACATTGCTTGTTTGAAACGCCCCAACATCAATCAACATACATGTACATTGGTTGGACCAGGTGCATGGTTGAACTATACAATTATGTACATGTATATAAAAACACCGGAGTAGGCGGCGGCAGCCTCTGCAAAGTGTTGGCTATACGTTTACATATTTCAACGATGTGGGAAAGTTTTTTGTAAACGTTTTTCAAATTAGACTTAAAGTCCCACCCCACACAATTTGCCAGTCGTTAGGTGTTTTGGATGAAAGGATCATAGGATATTCTAAACACATGTACATGTATCACGACTGAACTTCCCTGGGCTGCACAAAAGTTGGAAATCAGAAGTGTAACTTTTACAATGACTTTTTTGCAGACAGGGAATTCTTAAAGGACCCATTTACATGTAATGTAAATTCATCTTTTTGTCGCTTTTCAATTCACTTTAGTTTTGACATGTTACAAGCATTTTGGTTCTTTTTTAGTTTTTTACTCATGAGATGCAACTGTGGTGTTCTTCCAAGAAGAAGCCTACTATTTCAGCAAGGACTTTTGATATTTTACTGTTTTAAATGTTCTTTTGTGACTCCTTGTTGTGTCAGTACAACAGACCAAGAGCAAAGCTTTTTGAGTTAAAGTCAATGGCCAACTAATTGTAAGGTTCACTACTTGAACAGAGAACCGCAAGTTGAAAAGTCCTCTTGAGGTGGCGTCACAGCAACAGCGCCCCAAATTGTCCGAAAAAGCAGTAAAATTTCTTGACACCAATATGTGCTATTTTCATTCAGGTTAACGTGTACTAAAGGGTCCGTCAAATTAGAAATTTGTACATTTAAAAATAGTAGAGATTTGCACCAATAATTGCTCTCAGGTAAAATTTGTGGAAGGACCATTTGAAGGTATTAGATTGTACTCAGTATTATTGTATTTATAAATTATAAGTATGGTACTGACCATGTGGTACATAAAATAAATGGCGGTTTCGTTTCAACTTTGAAGCTGGAGACAGAGGCTACTCTGTAATTTGCAGCTGAATTCGATGGGAGTATTCGCCGAATGAGCAGCGCAGTTCCCCGGGGAAGGATGCTTACCGTCGTACCGTGTGCATGTACTTCATTTCTGGTCGGCGCTTAATGTTGCTGTAAAGGGAACTATTTCCTTGATTGCGTGTGCCAGTCTAACTGGTGTATCGGTGCATTAAATAAAGTGTTCTTTGAAGAGTGATGAGTTCGAGTATATGACATGGTGAAGGAATGGATTCAATTATAGTGTACAGTGTATACGATTTGGTGAATTAAAGGAGTTTATTTTGGTGTGGTCTAAAATGTGGGCTTAGTGTGATTCAATTTGATGTTGTCAAAGTCTGCAACGCCCCCCCCCCCAAAAAAAAGAACAAGTGCGAGAAACCTTGTGTTTTTTTACTGTTCGTGTACATGTGCAATGGCCTTTGTGGGGAGGGTAGGGGGCAATCCCCACCCCCTTTTTTTTTTACGAAGAAGACATCATAGGTGAGTAGGCACGAAAGAAATCGGTATATTTATTTAGCAAATATTAGCACCAACTCCCCCCCAAAAAAGCAAATAAAAGCAAGAATGTTGGTACCGTAAGGTTTTTGATTCCCTCCCCCAATATTATGAAGATTCTTTTCGCTTTTGAATTCCCCCCCACACCAAAACCTAGATACGCCGCTGCACATGTGAACTGCCAAAGAAGTGTTTCTTTCGAGTGCTCATTGGTCGTTTTTCTGATTCACTGTTACGACTGTTACGGTGAAGATTTTGTTTCAAAACTGAAATCGTAGTAGCAGTAATATTTCCCCAAATAAAATGTTGATAAACAGTCAAGTCTGTCGTTCTCTAAAATGTTTTTTCCTATGAGGCCAATGACCAGTTCACGAATTCTTGAAAACACGGAAGCATATATCAAGTAGCAACGACCCCATCGTTCTCTAGTCCTTGGCGACTGTGTCCTGTACGTATGAAGCGGTTCCTAGATCCTGACGGGCAGAGACGTTCCGCTTCCGGAGTTCACAGCCAAGTTCAAATGGACGGCGCGCCCCCTCAGCCTGGCATTCATAAAACACTGTGCATCTGTCGACAGGTATTTTTTGGCCAGTTCGCTTCGCTCTGGAATATATGCAGTGGAATCCTTGTTGATATTAAACCCGAGCCAGGCTGCAGACTTGGAAGTTGAATCCTCGTCTCCGATAAATACAGGTAATGGTCTGAATATTTCTGCGATAATACTTTCTGCTAGGATGGAATCGTCAAACCCTTTTACTCTCTCGGCTTTCATAAAATTGTATCAAAAGAAGGAATTTCAGAGGCGGATCTAGAAGGGGGATGGGGGTGCAACCCCCCCCCTTTAGCTGCAGACAAAATGGAACTACCAGTGAAATGACGGCAAATGAGTACACAAAAATATCCTAGATGAGATTTGCGCCTCCAATCTATCCACATATATAGTTAAGTTTTCTTTTCATCAGGGAGCAGTGTATGATGCTTTTGGACCCCTTTAGCAGAGCATCCCTTCAGTACGCCTATCACCCCCCCCCCTTTCCTGAAAGCTAGACCCGCCCTTGGAAGGAGTTGTGTGAAGCGTAGCGGCATTGACGGTGTAAACCTTTTAAGAGTTCCATAGTTTTTAGTTCTCACTGGTGCCCGGGACAGTGAGGCAGGCAAATGGGGGAGTCTACAGCTTGGTAAAGTTACTCCGATTTCCATGTAACTTTCGACACAGATCGTGAACCCGGTGCTGTCTAGACATGCCCAGTCGCCGTCTCAGGCTTCGCCTAAACTGTAAACCCCTGACTTGTTAACCCCATAAGAAGTCATGCTGTGCTGCCAAACCATGTACCAATAAACCCAGATATTTTGGGGGTTTTAAAAAAATTTATTGATACATGTATGTTTAATTCGAACTTGATGGATTTAATGCGGGAGAAAGGCCGGCCTGAGGCAAAGATGAAGCTGAGTTTTGGTTTTAGAGCTCAATTCAGGGACGGGGAAATAGAAATTAACCATTTTAGTCGACACTGGATAGCTACTTAAATGACATTTTTCATGTGAAATTGGAAATCCCCAAATTCAGTTGAACTGTCTCACACAAGCTGTCCTTTCATAGTTTATATGCTCTGATTTTCATCCAGACTTTTCTCTTCAGCAAGCTCCGACGTGCTCGTGGATAAACAAAAATGCCAACGGCACGCCGCCCCTTGAACCTGACGCCCGCCGGACCGGCCATCAACGTCACGCTCATGGAGCAATTTCTGCAGGCTCCTCCCACCTGCTTCCGTGTGGTGGAGCGGCCGACTCGGAAGAGGCAGCGTTTCCTCTCTCATGATCCCACCAAGATTACGTCGTGTGCTCGTTCGATGTCCAAAATCTTTCCGGACACCAAAGGAGGGTATGTGATCGTTTGTATTTTTTGTTTCACTGCAGTACGCTTAAAATCACGAAAATCTTCAACCTTTGTAGCTACGCATTGGCGATTTTAGATGAATACATGCACATCGCCATTTTTTTAAAATCTCATTTTTGTGTGCCAATAAATTCAACATGATGTTATCTGCAAAAGAACATGTTGAAATTCCCAGATTTGCAATTGTAGCTTGTAGTGATTCATTAACCTACCCAATGCCCCGAAACATAATGATAATGTTGTCATGGTGTCCTCCAGAATGTTTTGAATTAATCACAATATCCTGCTGACAGATGATTGGTCTTTTATAATAAGCAGCATTACACCTTTGAGCGTTGAGTTTCCCCAGTGTAGATTTAAACAGATGTAGTCTAACATGAACTTTCCTCCAATCAACGTCATTATGCATATGTTTCGGCTGAAAGCTCATCGATTAATTTAATAACAACGAAAATGTTTGGTTTCCATTTGCAAGGCCCTTTAAGTACTGAGAAAATTTAACTTCAATGACGAATTTCTGTTCTTCATGCCAAGGTGTCTGTGGGTTCACAACGAGGCGGAGCTCGAGAGTTTGACTAAGACCCTTCTCTCGTTGCCCATCTTCTTGACGGCCACCGCAGTTCGAACCCACAGAAAATCAGGCGTTAGGAAGGTGACAGTCGTGACCAAAGGTAGGTTCGTGATGTCGTAGGGTCAATGGAGGATGGCATGCAGTCTGGTCTGCATGCTCACGTGACGACAGTCAGTGGAGAAAATTCCATGGTCTTGTCCGTGAAGGTCGCATGATCAGTATTACAGCAGTGTGTCTCTGGCGCGAAACGAGGTGCCGCATAAACGAGATTTGAATAAGTGTCCCTCCACAATGATATTTTGCCGATTTGTTTAAAATCCTTTGAATACGTTCTATGGGAGTTTTATATTATAACAATCACAGGAAAATCTAAATTGCTTAGTTGAAATTGCAACTTACCGGTTTAAGATGAAAGCACGTGCATGTTCTCTGCCAAGCACCTGTCTATTCCAGCCTCTTTTCTTCCTCGAGCAGAAACACCCCCTCATCGGTTAAAAGGAGCCACGTTGGTCGGGAGTGTTCAATTTGTTGGTAGCGATGCGACCGTGACGCGTGCATTACTAGGTCGGTCGTGAACAAGCGAAGTTCAGTTCCGACCAATGGAACCTCCAATGCTAAGAAAATAGCGCCCTCTGTTGGTCCGGCTCGAGGCCCATGCAGCAGCGAAATTCTGCATTGTCTTTGGAAGATACCCTTGTCCATTTACAGCCTGGTCACAAATCCAATCTCTCGGTTTCCTTTACCAGCGAAAGTAGCGGTCATAGTGAACACCCAACATGTACAGATCCAGCATCATTTCAAAACAATGCTAGCAGAAGCTGTAGACCTCATGCGCAAAGGGAAGAAGTTTGCAGTCGAGGTAAGTCAGCTAGAAGTCGGAGACATGTAAGATTTTCGCTTCTGCGTAAGAGTGGGAAAGGTTCATACATTTTCAGGCATTAGTTAAACAATCAAAACCGAAGTTCCGCTGCGGTTTGAACACAGTTTAGTTGAGAAAACATGACTTGTTTAAGCTGGTACACTGCTGCTTCTTTGATGGATTCTCTCATAAATATATCCGCGGCTCTGCTACATTTGGGAAGATTAGTCAATAAATCCCTTTCCTTTTTCATTTTGATTCATTAAATGTTGACTTGATCCACAGTTTGACTTTAATCCGGTGCTAGCAGAATGGCTGGAATCCGCCTTTGTCAGCATGGGGAAGGATGGGGCATCCTACAACACTTGGTACAGCAGCAGGCATGCCAAAATCACGATCACCAACTGTGGAGAGAGGATAAGTACGTTCGTCTGCTCGGAAGGCGGGCTCTCGTCATGTTGTCTTCTCAGTTGGGTCGCCTTCTTTCCCTGCTGTTTGATGGTCTGTCCGATCTACAGGGTAAGTCCACTAATAGTGAACAGGCGTTGAGAGCAAGGGGGTATCGATACAGAGGGACATTTCCAGGTCTTGGGTCCCTGGAACGGGTAACTGTTTTTTTTGGGGGGGGGTTGTGTTTTTTTCTAAAACGACCTTCCACGTTCTTCCTAAGTTTATTTACAAAATTTCATGTCCATTCAAAACGGAAAGGGGACAAAATTATTGAAAATTGCGTTTTTGGAAAGTGGGCCATAATGGTGAGGTTAGAAAATTGAAACGCGTACGTGAACATCTTCGGTATGTTTTGTCACAGCTTCAGCGAGCCTTGCGGGTGACGGACTTCGGCGGTAGGGTTCCAGAGGAACTGTACGCTACCACATTCTGCCCGACCATGGAAATCTCCGATGCTGACATCGCTCGCCTGGACTACATGCGCCGTACACTTCAACAGCTCAGCCAACAGGCCCATCAGGGGCCTGCTTTGAGCGTTGACTCCCTGGGGAGGGTCCGTTAAAAACTGCAGAGTGATCATTCCCCTATTAGCAGCATGTATGGATCAACCCTATATATAGGATTGCGCCATTTGGTTCGGATATAAATTTTTTTGCGGTCGCTCAAATACCCACATCAAATTGCACCCCCTTACTGTGTCCGCTACGCTTCAACTGGGGGTAGATCTAATACATGTAATGTTGGCCTGTTTTTGTCCAACCAAACATGTAATGCACTTGTTGGCGTTTTGTCATTTTTTAGCCACCTTTCATTCAATTTCTATGATACCTTCTCGGATTTCATTAATCTTAAGAGATTTAACATTCGTGGTCTGATCAGATCAACATCAAATTATCGATTGATTGTAAACGATGCCTGATTGAATACCGGTAACATAATGGAAGGGACCGGCTTAAGCAAAATCCGGGTTTTGTCGATTGACAAGCTAGCTAGACACGAAATGATTGAATCAGCCATTGTAATTTTAAGTATGTATCATTCATGACCGACGCGGTGTGAATCTGTGTCGGCGAGTTGGGGTGGGATAGAGGATGACCATTGAGAATGGGAGTGGAAACCACGTAACACTGTGGCGCAGGGCACGGTGGGGGGCACGGACCTAATCCGGGGGGGGGGTACTCCACTGGACCGAATAGACCCCGTATACTAGATAGATGTGTTTCGAAATGAGGTTTTATCCATAAACACGATCACCCAATTTTTTCATCTGTGACAAAATTTTATAAAACCCTTTCTATCGACAGGTAGTAAAGAACCGTTTCTAGTATTTTGACATTTTCAAAGCTCTATAAACGGGCAACAACATGGAGGGGGGGGGGCTTGTCCTCTTCATTATATTTGACAGTATAACTGTGTGAACAACATCGCATTACATTCTTGTGATCAGTTCTTTGTAATTTTGCGAGGCCTCTTTTAACGAGTTTACAAGTCGGCTCTTGTTTGATTTGCGTGATTCATTTCTGCGTGTTTTTCAACGCATGGGCAATATTCAAGCTATTTAAAATATTGATAAATTAAAGTATACGAAACTGGCATATATTCTGTTCCATGTAAATCCCAATAATTTGAGTTTAGGGTTTCCAGGTAAATGTTCAATAACGTTTCAGTTTGTATATGAGGAGCACATTCCATTGTACTTTTTTTATTAGCATCATAAGAAAAAGTGTGCAAGTTTTAATAATAAAACAAAAGAACCGACACCGTAACTCATCTTGTACTTTTGAATGGTGCATCATTCTGACCATTCCAAGTTCATCATTCCTATGTGAAATTCCATGACGTGGACCTCTGTCCTGGCCATGCAGCTATTTTCAGTTCGTAAATGACTACAACCGAGTTGAAAGTCAGTGTGTTACTTCCTCGTATAAATGAAAATCACGGGAAGGCAAAAACTGTTCAAGCTAGTCGAGTATAACCTCAGTGCAAGGGGAAACTTCCTCATTTCACTTTCGTATGAAACGAAGCAATGTACTATACGGGGCAACACATCCAGAGTGTGACAGTTATAAATCAAAATGATCGAACGCCATGATCATAATGCTCAGCTTGAAGTTCCTCCGACCATCCGATCCCGAACAATTAAAGGATTGTTGAAGACTTGCAGGACCTAAGGTAAGTGAAAGGAACTGTTTTCAAACATTCTGGTTGGAAGGGTAATTGTAGGCCATCATGGAAAATTCAGTTTTTGAGAAGTGACTTGCCTGGATATCTCAAGCACAAAAGGAGGTAACAGTGTTCAAACTAAATAGAGAACTCTTCGCGTAGAAAGACACCCGCGAACACTGTAATGCCAAACGGCAAATATTTACAAACCTGGCTACAATCAAGAGTAGGGCTAATCATGGCGAGAAGTTATATTTAACAATGCACAAAAGGTATGAGTGGCTCTAAATATGGCCTAAGGTGAAATTTGGGGCATTATTCAAACTTTGTTAGAAAGAAACCTGTTACCTCGAGCCTTTGGCCTATCTCTCGGAATCATGGCTTAATTTTCCTGCCCAGCGAATATTTTGAACCCCGCTTTGTTTTGCTGCAACATCTTTCTGCAAACTCAAGTCGGGCTCATCCATCCTGCTCGTCATGTCGCGCAGTCCCCTCGATCTGTCGCCCCGTGGGCCGGCGGTGAACGTTGCCATCATGAGTGACTTCCTAGCAGCGCCGCCGGACCTTTTCACGGTTGTCGAAGGCTGCCGTCGGAAGCTTCGTCACGACCCTCGATTAGTCACTGTCTGCGGCCAGTCGGCTAAGTTCCTCGACTCGAAAGGCGGGTAAGACCAGTTTGTTCTTCCGATTCTTCTTCTGCGCCATACCGATATCTTCCTTGAAGAGTGGTCAGAGGTGCATTCTCGATCATTGAATGAACAGTTGATTGGGAGTGATTAATTTATTACAAATGTGATTCCACCGGTCATGTGAAGGACGAACAACTCTGTACAAAAAAAAATTACAAGTACATAACAATTTACAAGGAGGTAGTTCGGAACCACTGCGCTTACCATGTATTTCATTGGGGGGGGGGTTGAAATATCACCTGTTCGCGATGAGTATACGTACTTTACGTCCGGTACCGAACCACATGCAGGCCTATGAATTCTTTCGACAGCTGGGCCGTGTATGAAGTATGAACATTTGGAGAAACAGATAATGACTTTTACCAAAAACTAAAAAGCAGACTCCCTCCAGAATTTTTTCGATCATAACTGATTTTTTTGTAAGTAACAATAAAAAAGGTTCGTCAGAATTTATATCATGTCAGTGTGCTGTCTGCTATTTTCCCCATGGTAACCAGATGCTTGGCGGTTAGCAACAAGAGTGAGTTGGATTCGATTACGGAGGCTCTACTCACCCTCCCGCTCTTCTTTAATGTTTTCCTGAAGCGCTATCAAAAGGTCGGAAACACTACTGTCATTAATTTGGGTAAGCATTTTGCTGCCTTTGCTTTTAATCAGGATTTGAGAGGAAAAAAATCGGAACAAATGTTCAGATTTGTGTAATACGACGAAATTTGAGAGCACCTGTTTTCATAGTTTACGCTTTCGTACTTTGCTGATATAAAAACGTCAATGGATTTCCCTGCGAAAAATATCAAACTGACAACAACAGGCCTACATGTACTGTACAAGCTAATGCGAGGAAACCCCATAATGCGAATTCGTTATACGTCTGATCAAATATTCGCGTTACGAATTCGCAGAGGTTGAGCACATTTTAACTTGAGCGAAATTTGGCTGCAAATTTGCAAATGACGAAATTCTTTAGCTTGACGCGCGCGTGCATTTTGCAAATCAAGACACCCTATTGGTCGAAGAGGCATGCATGTGACGCGCACATACCACCTGTCCACGAGCGTTGTGTCACCGCAGTTATGGCCTCTAATTTCTATTGCCGAATAACACTATGCTCTATCTGCCCTGAATTGAAGTGCAACCTCACCGGCGAAAGAAATTTAGATGGAGAACGATGCTGAGTTCGTACCAAGGACTCTCAATTTCATTTAAAAACAAGCCCTCACTTGTTCCAGCTCGTAGCGGATAAGGTCGATCGTACAGGTTCCGTGAGCGTATAAAGCACGATCGACATAGACCCAGAACCAAATTATCGCGGGGACCAGACTTGTTTGGGAGATGATAACTTTCTGGAAGTTTTGCATGTGAATTTGTATAGCCCTCCTTGGGGTAAGGTCAAATTTTAGGGCATTTAACCCTGTTTGGGAAGAGATAAGTTAAATAGAGTCTTTCCCTCTCTTTTTCTTATCATTACAAAAATGATATGATAATGAGGATATGATGAAAGGGCGGAACAATCATTTTTCGCTTGCTAGGAAACATATTTAAAATTCCAAACTTTGCTTTTTAGAACAAAATAATATTCGTTTCTCCGTGTTTTTTAATTCAACATTTCGGTTATTTTTTTGGGTCAATAATAACGCCGGTGCTCTTTCATTAAGTTCCCCTCAGCTTGCCCAAAATTCATCTGATGGTGACAAAATCGATGAAAGTGACTGTAAATACGAGTCAGTAGGAACGAGATGTTTGCGGACCGCATGTGACTTGATTTCTCATTTCAAGACTCGCACCATTCCGCGACATACACAATGTATCTTTTGAAGATTTGCAAGGAGCACGCAATTCGGTTAATGTTGAAAATGCACATTGGCTGTCTGCGTTGTTTGCCGTCTCAAAGCTTGAGAGTAACTGCGTCTAACGAGTCTCTCCCGAATTTCTAACAGGTAAAGCAGCGGTGATCGTGAACACGCAACACCCACACATTCAAGACCACTTCAAGAGACTTCTGACGGAAGCTAAGAGGCTGATGCAGCGAGGAAAGAGATTCGCGGTGGAGGTATGGGGGCGATTGCATGGGGGGGGGAGTATCGTCCCTGGAAGTGTCACTGGAATTTCTCATCGCTTTGTTCGGACTGATTTATGTACTTGGTTTGTAACCAAGGCTGGATCTGGCCATACAGGAGCCTTTACAGAATTAAAACAGAAATGAGAGCAACTTAGTTTTAGATCGATTTATTATCCTTTACTTCCAAAAGCACACAAATATCCCCACAATATCCCCACAAGGTTTTTCTCCTTCCGCGATAAAAGTCCCATCCCTGCCCCCCCAAAAAAGAATATTGTTCTAGATCCGCTCTTCGTACTTATTAAAATACGGTCTGCTCCTATTACATAAAATTCCTTTGGGCCATGGTTTAAGGAGCCTTTCCGTCAACATTTGCGCCAAGCGTTGTGTATCCGCTACGCACTTGTGTTGTGTTAATGGAGTAGGTTTTTTGTGTCGTCGAAGCGAAACGCATGAACGCATCGTGTACGCAGCGCACCCCCAAAACGCGCACACAGCAGCCTTTAATGGAGTCTAGATTTTGTGTGTCTGTGTCCATGTCCGAGAAACGCTGGAAAGACGTCGTGAATGCAGATCTCAAATCCAAAAGCCTGTGCCCCAGCGATGCAAAATAATGACCGCAGGGTGCTTTGCGAAGGAAGATCATGGTAGCCAATTCCAAACTGGGAGAAGGTTAGGAAGAAGAGGAAACGCGCCCTGGTTCCTTTTTCCCTACAATAGTGTGTCCTTTCGGTTAAAATGCTCATTCAATTATTACTAAATCATCACTTTTGAGGAAAGACACCTGTTTGCATCATTGAACAAATTAAAGGCATGAGGGGACTTATGTTCGTCCTTCTTGAACTTACTGGATTATTATGCCCATCCCTGTTACAGTTCAACTTTAACAAAGTGATAGAGGAGTGGATGCATTCGGCCTTCGTGTCGGCGGGGTTGGACGACGCGGACACATCCTGCTTTCGTCGGGTGCTGTATGTTAGTATGTACGGAAGAGTCACCGTCACCAACCACGGAGAAAACGTGGAGCTCTTCACTTGTAGGGATTGCATCAAATCGGAAGGGCTTATCGTGTGGTGGGTCTTCTGCTTCCCTTGTTGTATGTGCGTGTGTCCGATATATAAGGTAATTCGTGGGGATTCCCCAGACCAGTTATAATTCTTTCAAAATTAATAATGATGGAAAGTGCCTTGTTTGTTTGTTGTTGTTGTTGTTGTTTTTTATAACGGGGACACTGGAAGGCTCGTCGCCCTGTAGCGGAAGCCGTTTACATTGTACGCAATGCACTATGTGACAGCCACAGGTAATTTGCTATCAGTGCCCCTTTGAAAATGGGCGCATCCCAGGTGCCGGGCTGGGAAATTTCATCAAAAGGGCACAACCTAGTTAATGCCTAGTATGAGGCACATGACTTCTATGGGAGTGTTTCATAGTCCCGTGTGACCTTCCGATTCAAAATAATTTTGTAATTTTGTTTTGCATAATTTTGTAGCCTTGTGATTGTCTCAAAGCAGCTCCACAGAGCATTACGGGTAACCGATTTGGGTGGGCCAGTCGCTGGTGTAACTGCTACGGCCTTTCTCCCCTTGGGGGAGATTGTTGGTGGCGATTGGCGAGACTGGCTCGACGTGCTTCGAACCCCAAACAGACAATTTGCGCTGCTACCGCTATCGCGGGCAGAAGGTGTGTACCAGACTATTTCTTCATTTTGTAGAGGGGGAAAGTCTGCATTCTTTGCCTGCTTACTCCCGAACACCGCTTGCAGTGTAGACTTGAAATCGGGTCTGTAATGCCAAATTTTGTTGTGGACCTGCACCATGTTAAGTTTAGCTGGCGTGGGGTATGGCAGCATGCGGGATTATTCGGTGCAAACTTGTCCCCAATGTGTGTTTGCATTGTCTACCAGTTACATGTCGGATCGCTTAACATAGAACTACGGGTATATCAACACTGATGATGAAGCCGTGGCACCAGGGACACACGATTATCTAACGACTTGATTTCAAGTCTACTCACTGTGTAGTATCTATGTATATAGCCCCAGAAATGTAAGGTCAGACGTCCACCACACTCTCACGAGGGAGCGGAGTGGACGTCACCTCGGGCCCTGCACAGTTCTGTGGTAGTATCTGCATGCTTGTTTGGTTTCTTTTTGCAGAGCACTTCTTAAACGTGTCGTGGGATCTTCTGCAATTTGTCACTAAGAGATACGTGATTTTTGTTGTACAATGTAAAAGCACGATAATAAAAAACCCGAAAAAGTCGAGAGAACGACAGGTTATCCACAAAGGGAATTCTTTCCATCTCTTCACTTAAAATTTTCCCCCATCTTTATGTGTCTCTGTTACAGCCACGGTTTCCCAAGGTCCCTCAGTACAGACCATGGAAGATTCGTTGGCAGCAGAACAACTAGAGGAAAACAGAGAGAACGACAACGCGGTCCTGGGACAGTAGGCCAACAATATAAGCTCACTCTCTGAGCTTATCACTAAGTTCGTTCCAAAGACGAGGGCCGGCAGAGTACATTATTTTGCAACTAATCTGCTCCTTCGGCATATTAATTTGCAAGTGTCTTATGCAAATGGAGTAATTCTATAGTTGGCACAATAGTATGCTGGGGACATGGCCTCAGATACTTCAAAAGACAAAAAAATATTGAAAACAATCCCATGCTTCTATGGGAAGCCACGGTGAGTCAATACATGTACGTGAGCGCTGGAGTAATAACAGTCACACTTCTAAACGCCTATTAATAACGTAGCAGCTACAATTTATATGCTATTAAAGGCTAATGCAGATGTATGCAAAGCTGCAAGGACTGCATTATAATGAATGCAACGCGTAACTAACGTGTGATTACTTTTTCTGTGGCTGATTGGCCAAAATATCGCTCGATCATTTTGTAAATGATACACGGTGGTATGAGAATACATTCTATGTGGTTATGTATATTCATTTTGCTGTCAACATATATGTCCATGCACACTCTTTACCTCAATGACAGGAGTGATATTGTGGTTGCCCATATATAGATTAGTACTGTGTGGGAAGTTTTCTGATTGACGATAATAACAGTTTCCCCCCGGCCAATTTCAGCAAAAGGTTGGTCAGTTTAACGCGAGGCCCATTTATTTTAAAATGACTACTTTCCCGTACGCGAGTTAGCATTCTAAACGCAAAAAGAAGTCATCCCATCTCGTTATTTTGACATTCTTTCCAGAAATAGCCACTTCCGTTCACATTCAAATAGTAGTTTCGTTCATTCAAATTTATCAAAGGTTTAATGACGTCGCCCAAGATTCGATTTAGTCAATAAGCAAAAATTTTCAAATATAAAATTTGTTCGTGTGACATAATTATGCACTTTCTGACTCGCCCTTTGCCTATATATGAATGTTGATTTTTGAGGAAAGATCATTTCAAAGGTGGACGTACAGCTTTCAGTTTACGTGAAGGCTTTAGGTTGTCAGGTCAGCAAGGTAGTTCTTTCTTCGCTTTCCACCTCTGTGGTCCCGGGTTCGAATCCCAGCCCGGTCCACATGTGGATTGGGTTTTCAGTCCCTACCTGACTCCGTGGGTTTTACCCAGTTTATTCCTCTGGGGTTTTCCTCCCACCTCTAAAACTGTAACTGCTTCTTACTGTCTCCCCTTTACTAATGTTGGTGATTGTGGGTCGTTTGGCGGCTGCCTGAGGCGTCCTTGTATGCCATCGGCTCAACCATGTTTAAATGTATTCACTGTTCCACGCTGAATGTCTTCATTGTACAGCGCATTTGAACATATCTATATGAAATTTGCGGTTTATAAATGAATAAATTATTATTATATTATTATAAGGCTTTACACAAAATAATGGCGGCCTGCGTTCCCCACAGGAACGTGAGCAATGCAGACAGGGCTGGGGGGATTAACGCTTTTAGGGCAATAACATATTTGAAATGGTCTGGGTAATTCTTAAAAGAGATGTATGTAACGAACATGTGCCCCTGAATACAAAACAAAACCTCCTGATTTAATTCATATTACTCAAGAGACCGGCGTGAACACAAACTAAAACTAAGGGTTCAAGGGAATTATTCAAATCAACATGATGAATGATGAGGGAGCAACAACAGTACAGAACAACTTAGAATGAAAGACAGTCTTAACTACTCCAGTAATGCCCATCAAAGTCACGTGAACACTTTGTGTGAAACAGATTTACCATAAATGAATCAGAAAAAAATTGCGCAGTTAAAAATTCCTGACAGTTTCGATGACTTTTAATTTGATTGCACTAACTGTGAAAGACAGCAACAATTGAACTTAAGAATGATTAATACTCTTGATTGTCTATAAACGAAATAGAATGACTGAAACGAACCTGAACGGCAACGCTTCAAGCTTATGTACACGAAAACGAAACTGAATGCGATGATAAGGACTCAAACAAACCACAGCACGGACAGAATAGAAAAAAAATGCACAAATTTGAATTTATATTCGCGAAAATAAACCTTTTTGCTGAAATTGGCCGGGAATCCTATAACCCGGTAATGAAACATCCCGTTTGGCCAAGTAAAGCATCAGGTAACCAGCTCCTCAACATCTGAAATTTAGAATAAAATTTGACTTACTTTGATTAAAAAATAATAATAAATGATGCCGCATCAGGCGAGTGTGGGCACCAATGATGACCCACGGCTATCAATAGGCCCTAAGCCGGTCTTAAACGAACTTTTTAGACCGGCCAAGAACAACTCCTATTAATAAATGCCTTCCGAGCCAGAAAGTCGAATCAGTTCCTAAGATTGGTCAGCACTTAGTTTAATATTTCAGACACAAAACACCTCGAGCCATGTCATGGTAGGCCCCTATGCGCCGCCCGTGACAGCCTGTGCTTTATTAACCGTTCCAGACCGGTCATGCTGCGACAGAATGGCCTAACTATCATAAGTATTTATGAATAAGCCCCTATGATAAAATTTTCAAAATAAGGCACAGTTAAACCTTGCCTTTCTGTTCCCGCTAAGGTTTCATTTGATTTCAAAATCGTCAGACTTTTACTGGGGACTTTTCATTCTTTTTCATTATTTTGATGTTATTTATTAGGACCTACTGTAAAAGATTTGGTATGTATTTGGATATGTGTTAGAGATAATACGTGCAGTTTATACCGTAGGCCTAAGTGGAGATTTTTAAATTTAATTTCAATTTAAACCAAGGTTTGATGAGGGTATAATCATGGTATAATATACCGGACGTGGACGACCCCTGCGTGTACTCAGAGACTTTCTTATTTGAGGCTAATCCAGTGTCGACCATAGGAACAGAATATATCGTCAGCATAGTCACCCATGATGGTACTGGAACGTCAGGGATACCAGACACCGTTGTTCAGTTTCAGCGCTCTCAGCGGAATAATAAGGAACTTTTGATTTAGGGCCTGATTCATTCGAAAGTTATATCCTCTGCGTTTGAATTTTGATGTATGGTGAGGTAAATTAAATTTTTTGTTGAAATTTGAAGGCTTTGTCTGTTGTTTAATTTTTCTTTGCTTGATCCGTGAATTTCAGGGTTCTTTTCGAGGAATAATTCCTCCTCCCTTAACCTCACGCCCTATCAAAGAGAAACCTTTTTTGAATCGTATCGTTCCCAGTGCACTTCTTACTGTACACAATATATAAAACGCGCCACACCATGGGAGAAAGGTTGACATTTGAAGAGTTGTCTAGTTTCCAGCGCACAGCCCTGTTAAATAAGGTGTATTAGTTGCTCCGAGCTGACTGCTTCCATGACTACAAAAACGCATACGTAAGCCGTGTCCGGAACAAGGTTTTTTGGTCTACTTCTACGGCTGTTTGCCTTTACACATTAATAGGATGACCACAAACAAAGTCATAGCCAATTCGAATTCAGACACGAACAAAGTCTCTTATCCCAAGCGCGATTTGACTGAATCAGCTTGTCACTGCCACCGGCAAATAGAGCCTAACTTTACCGTGGCCTGGTCTTAAGCGCTTGTGTGAAATTGAACAAGTGACAGCGCTCGTGTACTGGGATCGGTCTTCGGTATGGCCATTCGTGATCTTTTCACTTTCTTTCCTCCACATTTTCTTTGGGACAGTCACTCTGCAGTGCAGAATAGGCCTACCCCGCCACCACACGAGTCCAGTGTAGCGTCACGTTAGACTCTCCTTCCTCAAGTTCTTGGCCGGCATGGCCGGTGGCCCTTGCAACTTAGGCTAGCATGAGAATACAAGTTGTAGATTTGCGTCCTAGACTAAGGCCTAACAATTTCAAAACACATGAGGCATTTTACGTCCGAGTAGGGCCTACAGAAACTTAACCTGTCAAGTATAAAAAAACTGCCAAACTACCACCAAGGCAAAAGCCTTGCTGAGGGATGAGAGCTGTAGGCTGCTTTTCATTAGCATAATCAGTTCATGGATCAGGCCGATTAAGGATCTGAAGTATCAGTGACTCAGTGTCCAATTCTATGTAAAAGAACTGTCTAAATTCTTTTTGAAATCAATGACTCAAGGCAATCCTTACCCCCAGAAAGATGGGGTCCGACGTCTGCTCCTCTCCTCCCTCCTGTTATAACCGTCAAAAACAGTCAAAAATGCCTTCCAATTGATTTCCCCCAGTACACAGACACGTATGGGAATTTTGACTGATATGACAACTGTGTCAAGAATGCATCTTAGCATAGGAGGGTTTTAAAGAGGAGCGGACGTCGAACCCCACGGTTGTGGGGGTAGGCAATCCTCACACTCCTGCACTGTGAGCATAACACCTGACATACAAAAGCCATCTAAACTGAGCTAAGCTAAGGCTGGATGAAATGCATCAATATGGTAATTTATATAGCTGCTAGTGGAAGTAGGACTCAGAGTTTTTGTCTTATTCCTGACGAATAATGAAATTTTTGTAAATAGGGCCAAAGGGGGTGGTGGCGTCATGACATGTGGGCGGTGAACGCAAACCAACAATTTCTATTCTCACGGCCTTAGGTCAAGACACAGCAAGGCGGTCTCTAGGCGCCACACTCGTGGGGCTGCCAACCTCGTAGCCAGCTCACAGAGTCATGGTCCTGACAGTTGACTACATGTGCCTATGCACTAGGTCAGCATGTGGTTAGGTCATTCTCAAAATGATTTCATAGCAGGATACCGTAGTCTGGGCTATAATTATAGACTACATGTTTTTCCTTAACAACTCCCTCCTGTACTTTGTGCATTCTTTCGTTCTGAAAAGTGTCCTGCTGACTCCGTATCTGCCAAGCTGGCTACAGGTATGACACTGACAGGGTATTCTTAGTGACTAGGACTCTATGAATCGCTTCTCTGAACATTTGGACATAGTTGGCAATAGCATCTTCCTCATCTACAGTGTAGCTGAAATAAACCCATGATTGATTCAATGGTTTTGTTTTCTCTGTAGGAAATATTTTAGAGGCAAAATTGGCCCAAAATGGCAAATCGAGTGCACGTTCGTTCGGGCAGTGCTGGTCCCGACAACAGAGCTTTTCGTGAAGCCATCGCAAACATGAGGCTGGAGGTGTTAGAGACCAAGGCAGAGACCCAGCGAGTCCGAGATCAGCTCAACTGCCTCATCATGCTGGTTAAGAGGTAAACGCTGCACATTCTTTTGCACAGGCATGGTTGTGTTGACCTGTAAAACAGAGAGTGAAAGAGTGCCCAGACATCACTGGCCTGAATTTCCTACCAGTGGCTATCCACTGGTAGTTAGACAAATCATGGTTGGAAACTGTCTGAAGTCTGACTGTAACTTCACCATCTGTGTAGAGGGTGCTCTCACCGACCCAAGTACCTGGACGTGCATCTACATGTACCATTGTCGTAGGCATAAACGATGACATCACACCCCATATTTACATAAGTGCAGTAGGCAAGCCCTCAAACTTCATAAATAGCAAAAGTATGAGAAAAATGCAGTAAAACAGTACCCAGTGCTAGGTCTGTAGGTCAGCCCGAAAACGGCAACTGCATATGATGCAAATGGTGACCCTTGTGCCATTTGATATTAAAGGTACAGTCCATCATTTGTCAATTGTGCATTATGTTCCTTTGAGGTAACAACATTACAAAAACTCTAAAGGCAGCTTAAGAACAAACCTTGGGGATTTTCAGCTCAGTGGATGCTACATACTGTATTCTGAGAAAAACAATATTCTAGGATTTCGATTTCAGATCAGAAGTTGCCGAGTCGTATCTTGAATTGTGCCCAAATTCAGTGTGTGGGACACCTTCTCACATTCAGTTGAATGCAGAGCTCTACATGATGTCACTTACTGAACCGAAAAATTATATTAACCACGCACACGGGTGTGCCAGGTCAACGCTTGCGTGCGCTTTTATTGGCAATTTTCCTAAAAATTTCTTTAGACCCACTGTTGGAAACAGCCTTTCATTTTTTTTCTTCAAAATGACAGCTTGCCAGAAAGAATAATTCCACAAGGAGTTTAGTCCCATAAATATTATGAAACCTAATATGCTATTTGACGATAATTTCTTTACTTTTTGGATAACTACAAATGATGCTCTGTACCTTTAACCCAAAAAGAGACTAACCATCTGGGCTAACAATCTGTACATTGCATTACTGCTAATCAAATGCTGGCCTGCTGCATTGGTGGTTGATGTCATTGGAGACATGTAATCATATACTTTGTACATGTAGTACTTTGATTGGACCACTTCCATGTACTTGCTCAGTTTGGAACCTGAAACAACCAGGGATTTGAAATTTGATTGATACGCAGCTAGGATGGCCAAGGGTGGAACCTGCATTCACCCTGCTTACCCCCCCCACTCCCAGGTCTTGAAACCTGGTGGTTTGAGAAACTGGTCCTGTCTAAATTACATGCACTTGGCTAGATGGCCGGAAAACACAGCACATTGCCCTATGGAAGCTGCTAGCTCGTGACTTCAACCTGTTCCCACAAGACGAGGATGGATCCAGAATAAATTTTTTTTGTGGGGGGGGAAGGTTTTTCGGAAGAACAAAGAAACTGGAAATTTTTTAATGTAAGCTTTTGTGGCCTCTCTGATGGTCGGGCCTAAAATTTTTTACACACTTTTGAAGGGACCCGAAGGAAACAGACCAAAAGTCGCCTTTCTCTGATTATTCCAGAACGAACGATTTTTGCTCCTATGGAGTGCCATGGCTCTGTTAACCCGCCCTACTCTCATTCCCCCTTGCCGTGCCACAGGCCCAAGTGTTATTGTCATTCGTAGCCAAGTGATTTTGGACCCAGCCCCATGCCTGAGCAAGCAGAGTCTAATTAATGTCATTAATGGTGTTTTCAATAACCGCTTCTCAACCGTTCTTGACACAGGGCGTGGATGGGGGACCAGGCGGCAGCGATTCATGTGGCCAACATTGTTGGTAGGTGTTTGCGCAGTTAATTCAGCCAGTTTCACAAAATGGGGCTGAACTCACATCGTAGGGTAGATTTCATTTGTTGCACGGGTTTGGCAGCATTCTTACAGTCTTTGAAAATCACTAGGAATTGCCTGCAGTTTTGTGAAATCGGTTGCTGGATTGTACTGATTCCTCTTTCAGTATGAATTTGCCCTCCTTTGCCTTCCACTTTTGAGTGGATCCCCAGCCCCTCTCACTTTGACGATGGCCCCTGATCATACTTTAAAACACTCTCCATTTTGGGACTTGGTATTTAGGTCAGTGTGGACAAGATGACACACATCTAATGAATCTTGAATACTGTGACTGTTTTGTCAATAGACTTGGCTAATTTGTGTTCAGTATTAAGTGTTCTTCACGTTCACTTTTTGGCCCATTGAGGTTACACATCATTGGGAATGGTATGTCAACAAATTATAGTTGCTAAAATGTGGCTGACACAATAGTGGTTGGAGAAATTGTTCACTCTAAAGCTCTCGCCATTTGGATTCGGTTCGGAAACTTCTGTGGCATTTTCCTGCTAGTGTTTCACAATAACAGCTGCTCTCCTCAGACTGGACCCTGTCAAATCCTTTACTTACATTTACCAGGTGCAGCTCCTCCCAAGTTTTTCAGAGACGAAGAAACAGAGGAGGTTAACGCAGTAAGCAAGGTAAATTAAAGCCTCCACACTATCACTGTTGATTTTTTGCGTCTCCAGCAGGCAGAGATACCACTTTTTCGGTTTTATCCACATTTCTGATATTTTTAAACAGAACCGCGAAATCCAATTGTTTTCTTTTTTTTCCCTTCTGGCTCAAAAGAAAAGGCCTGACAAGAAACAGAAACGGGAATGCATTTATTTTCACCTTGAACGCATCTCAAGTTCAATGATGAGGGCCTCGCACTGCATTCACAGCATGCAGGTGTATAGCTCTGTCCTGCAGTAGCCTTAAAAACAAGGCTGCCGAGCTTGCATGTGATGCGGCAAGTGCAGCCTGTGTCTGCATGCCTTTATGATCGTTGAGATGCTTGGAGTTGAGCAGCGCCGCATTTACCAAGACTGCATGCACGGCACAGTGAACTGTCTGAATTCAAGACTACTATGTCAGTCAGTGGTTCCAAATCACATTGATTGTATATGAATAGGAATATTGAGCATAACAAGCCGGGAACCAACTATATCATGGTCGTGCATGTGTGTTTTCACAGGACAAGCTGTTGAATGATGTCTACAACATAATCATGCACAGTTCGAGTAAAAAATCTTATATGTCATGCTTCAGATCTCATTAACAAATACATGTAGAAAGATTTTAGAAAGAAGGGATATATTAAAAGCTGCCGAATCAAAGGTGAAAGAGAAGAGAACTCCGATCGTTATGTGCTTCACTCAGTAGGCTCGATCATGTGTTTTGATGTTATTTGCCACAATTAAAAAAGCTCCGCTTGTTTTTTTTTTAGCAGACCATGTGCCATCTCTGAGCAAGATGTCAGTGACATCATTTTCCTAAACCCTTACAGAATGACTTTTCTGTGGCTTTCTTGGTACATGTATGGTTTCTAAAGAGACTATTTCTTCAGCTTGAGGCTCAGAACTTCATTTTTCGTTGTTAGTAATTTGCTCATACTTTAAGAGAAGATATGCTCAAGGGTAGAAGATTGAGCATTATTTTCGTATATGAGTAAATAAAAACTACCATGCTCTCTTCAAAACCACCACAAGTCTTTTCACAAGTCCAGTCACAAGTCCCTTCCCAAGTCCAATCAGAACTCCTTTCATAAGACCTGTCACTGGATCTTTTACAATTAAGGCCTACAGGTCCCAAGTACTGGGACAAACAGTGAGTGTCACAGTTCATTTGAACAGCTTGTGACTTACCTTAAGACTGGCTGTCTCGCGATGGAACTTCTGGCAGGCTGGCAGGGACTTGTTACATGTAGGATGTGTCACTGACACGACTACATATGAACCGATATATGCTTTCAACCCAGACCCGAGTGCTCCACCACTGGGCCCTGCTGTCCATCGGCCTGCTAAGCCGCCACTTCCAACAGCTAGAGACCCAAGCCCTGTCCCGGGCCAAGCAGAGGCTCCAGCAGCGGCAGGATTTTCTGGACCAGGAGCTGGCCAAGCACAGGGAGCTCTTGAAGGCAGCCAGTGGCAGGGGATTGGCCACTGTTAAGAGGAGGGGCAACCCTTACCTGGAGGTGGGTTTTCGTCTGGGACATCATGCAGTCAGCTCCAATGTTGTGGTTGAGCCCATTCACAAGCGTGTTCTCAATTCCAGTCACCAGACCAATCAAAAGTAACAGGATGAACATTGACAAAAGAATATCTTATTGATCTTACTGCTTATAACGTGGCTTAAGACTTGGTGCCTTATGATTGACTTTCAGGGAATTATGGCCACTTGTAACAGACTGGGTTAGAGTCTGACACCTTACACTCCAGTAAATCTGATAACCGAAGGCCGTGTGTTCCCTAACGCCCTTGTTGGAGACACTTGTCTCAATGGTGTAACGACTGAGAGCACTTTGTTTCTTTTCTCGTTCATTTCAACATGAAATGGTGGGCAAAAAAATGTATCGTTTCTCACATGTAATAGCTTGGATTGTCTAGGTCCAGGGATGAAAACCCAGACGCATTTTATTCCCTTTGATTCACCCTAAATTCCTTTTTGGAAAAAAAAAACTGTCAGGTTTCATTTTATAGTATACTTCTCATTGGTAGGACAGCACTGAAAGGAAGTGGAACTTATTTCCACTCCTAACCTTTAAGTTACAAAGTTTATTTCTTATCAGCGTTGTAATGATTTCAAAACCACCAGTCATGGTCATAAACAAGTTTCTTCCTTCATAAATATTTTACAGACTCAGCAGGGTCAGAAGCCTCACAACACTTGGAACTCCCGGCCCAAGTCCTCCAAACCTGGTCACCTGGCCCAACCCGAGTCTGACCATTCCAAGCAGTACCGCCCCACTGCCAAGGAGCTGGCTACGCCCACCAGTATGATGCAGCACCTGGCCAACGTAGCCCAGGCAGAGAGAGAGGTCAGTTAGTCCGGGAAAAGTTTACATGTACTACACTTGCATACTTGACTTGTGAGGTGATCCCTTGCAGGCACGTCCAGTAAACAGCAAAAACAGCGACTCATGAATGGACCAGTGAGAAATATATCTCACAGTCATGAATATGACGAGGTACTTTCATAGCAATTTTAGGTGATTTACTAATAACCTCTAAGGATTTAGTAACTAACTTACAATCATGTTAGATTTGGTGTTGTCAGTGTGAGGCCTGTCTTTCCTTAGCTTTGATACAGTCATAGTTTTTTTCCCCACCAATGGTTAGACTATGGCTGGCCACCAGTACACAAGCAACAGAATTTTCAAAATGTTAGCAATCTCACACACCTGTGATAAATGTGTCTCTTATTTAGGCAAAAGCTTTTACCACCCAACGGTGAACATTCAACAAGCTTTTGCTTCCCATTGAGACTGGTTCGGCAGTATTTGTTAACAACAGGTCTGTAGCTGCTTCACCTAGGCCCTACTAGCGTTCATTGTTAACCACTTACTGCCGTTTCGAGCCCCATTTCAAGCACGATGGGTTTATACGCAGAGCCGGGGTGCCCGAAATGGGACAAAAGAGCTTGTCCGTGTAACAACAGACCGTACTCGGAACAAAAGACTTACTGCTGGGAATTGGCATCATTTTTCGGCTTGCATTTTTCGAAGGTAATCTGTCACCGTTTTTAAACAGTATACCACTGTTTTGGGCATAGCGCGCCCACGGATTAGCACCGCGGACTGAAGTGCTCCAGGGCCCCATTGATGAACAACACAGCACCACTGCATGCTAATCCAGCTGCGCTTGAAAAGACACCACTCACATTCACTGGAGACAAAGGAAATTACGCAACACCTCACAATGCTGGGCTCTCTTTACAGGGCGGCAGGCCTGGCTGAAACATTCAGAAGTCAATGAAGGTTACCTGTCAACTTAGAGTGGCCACCACATACACCCACACGAATAGTCATTTGTGTAGGTGTGAATGCCCGTATGTGTGCACTACATTTTTAAAAGTACCCGTCAGCAAGTGGTTAAAACATTGACACTGCTGATGACCAACTTACATAAAGCAACAGACAGAGAAGAGCATGAATGCATAGTCACACTTCACTATCTAGGGCTGTACCATATATCTGAATATTCAATCAATTATCGAATATTCAAATATCATTTTCCCAATTTGAATAGTGGAATGCAAAATCATTAAAAGGAAGGGAGAATTTTCTCTGGTTTTAAATGAGAAAAGTTGCAGCAGTTTCCAGCAGATTCAAATGAAAGTGATAAATCTTACAACAATTCAAAAGTAAATTATTCATTAAAAATCTAAAAGGAATAAAACAACATGGCTAAAAGTACCGGTATTGTTCGTCTCTTAAAGTTTGCCAAATGTTGGCTGAAGATACCCCTACACATGAGAAGCTATTATAGTGATTAGAATCTACAATTGTGTGCGTTATTGCAACTGTTTGTGCATATGGTTTGTTCATCAACAATCTGCCGGTCAGTCTGAGTGAATATTCGGATATTCCAACAACTTGAAGGTCAAATATTTGAATAGAAAATTATTTGAATTGACTCAGCCCTGACACTCTCTCAGACAATGAAGTGCTGTTACAGACTTTGTTCCACCATTATGCTTCATGTTTTATGACAAACGTCCACGTTGAAAGTATTGTCTAAGAATTGAAACACTTCCTTCTCTTGACTTCCAATGAAAACAAGTACTGAGGTCTTGTTTGTATTGTTGTGACACATAGCAACACGCCTGAGAACAAGCTCAGCTGAATATCCATTACGTTCCCTTTTAAAAGATCTTTGAATGAGGGTAGAAATCATCACACAGCGACTACATGTGGACAGAAGGTTGGGTATGAATGATTCTGCATATTAGGAAAATATGTTGCTGGTTTTATGTGATGGAACCCTAACCGTCCTCAATCCTTCACCTGTTGGAGGACCGAGGACTGTTAGGGTTAATAAGGTTAGTTGTTCATCCATGAGTTGCTTTTATTGCCCCCCAACATCTGTTTAATAAGTGCTTTTCACTAGATAGCTGTAGTTATTATTTTAATGGATGATGCATTTATTCCCTAACCACCTGTATTTTGTCAAATTTCTGGAAATTTTCCCAGCCTACTGTAAAGATGAATAGGATGGCTTTTAACTCACTGGGAAAAAAACAAAGAAGATGGAATTTTTGGGGAGATTTAAACAAAATCCTTGCACGTTGCCTTTTTGAGAGGGACACTCTGCCCTCCTTTGGTTATATATTGTTTTGATCCAGGCTCTATTAAATCCTTTGAATTTGACTGTGGATCTTTCTTCTTGTCTGGTTCCAGCAGGATTTGTTCAGTGCAAGCCATGTGGTACCAGATCGGAGTAAGGCCCAGCGTCCAAGCAGTGGGAAGCAGAAACTTCTGGACAGCCGCAGAGCGAAGCCGAAAAGTGCTGGTAAGTTGACCTTCTAAGCCACAACTTGCAGAAAAATCCACAGAATAATTAATCTGTTTCTGTAAAAGTTTTGTGTCAATAGAACCTTGGTTCTATGCTGTTCACCAGCCAATGTTGAATCCCCTCCAGTGAAAAACTGAACCTTTTCTTACGCATTTTCACAAGCAAACACTGTTTCATTGTGGTGGGCTACTGATCCACAATAGTTCAATAAACAGTAGGCCTATGTAGGCCTATGAACCAACTCATGTTTAGTTCTTGTACCACCTGGTAAGGTAAAAAAGTCAAGTCTTCTACCATTCTTCAGTTGCCGCTGACAAGGGCTAAAGGGAGTCTGTCAGTAGTTATCCCGAATAGGTGCTCACAGCCGGGTGATACGCGGAAGTTGAATTTAGGAATGACCAACAGCATCATGTGGAAGAGTGTCCAGTGTTGCTGATGTTATCTGCCCAAGAAAATTTAGTAGCCAACTTTACACTGTTTTAAGAGATGGTTGTTATCTGGTGTCACCCATGTGTCCTCTCTCTTCATAGTCGTAGCCACAACTAAAGGGGAACGACCGTTAAAATATGAAACCACCCGTCCTGTATCGGGCAAGCCCTCTGCTAGTTCCTCCAAAGCCCGGGCCAAATCTGCCAAAGCTTCCTCCAACCGCATCTTTGAGATGACGGAGGGGGATCTGTCCTTGTCGAAACCGAATCACCTGTCAGATGAGCATTCGGCGCGGAATGGGGAGGACCTCTCGCTCTTCGACGAGGATGAAAGGCCACCGGTACGGACAAACGGTGGCCATGCCCGGTACGAGGACACGGTCAGTGAGGGGCNGCATGGAGGAAGACTTTCGCAAGACAGCCAAGATGTTGCAAGAGAAGCTGGGGATCAGCGGAGACGGTGTAATCTGATTGAGGGCTTTGTCCCAGTGGACCTCCTCATTAACCAACTACGAGTTTGACTCATTGGCCCCCACAGGAAAGTTCCTTGGCTTGGCTGCTTGATGAATCACCGCATCTCAGGATGGTAACCAAGCGGGTAATTATTTTTTCACCACCAACATGATAGGCATGCATCAGCCATCCAACCTGGCATCACGGTCATGCCGTTACCTTCCATATGTTGAAAAGCGTGGATTATGCTGTCATGCTTGACATTTCAAGCTCCCCTTTAAGGAACAGAAGAAAATGGGGGCAGGAAATCGAAAGTGTCCCATAGGCTGTATTGGTTTCAATCTGTAATGTTAATTTATACCAGCCGATACATACAAATGCATTGGAACTACATATTTAAATGAACAATACGGCCGAGGTTCTGGTGGATTCCAGTCCCTTTGAAACTCCAACTCCTTAGACATTATTCCAAGGACTGTCCTGAATATGCTGAAAAAAAGAGTCTGCTGCATGCATTACCTTGAATGGAAGTGGCAAAATCTTGATATACTATAATATGCAAGGGATGTGAAGTTCTCTGCATGTTGCCAGTGGCTTGTCTGTACAGAATGTCTCTGACTTCTCTCAAATCTTCAGATTGACTTTCGAAGCGTGTAGAAGGGTTTTAACAAGAAGTTTTTCCATCCCAAAGTGCTTACAACCCCTGTGTGCCTTAAGCAGTGATTAGTCCCCCGCCAAGTCTTTCGTCTCTGTTCAGCGCCCGCATTGATTTCAAGCGTGTGCTTCAATCTTTTTTTCTCTCTGTCTGCGAGAGCTGCCATAGTGCCCTCTATTGGCACACTGCCTCCACATTTTTGTGGGCAGCTCAATCTTTTACTTGGGGCAATAGATCCTGACAACATCGATTTTGAACAATGATAGCAGTCTATGGATATGAAGTTGTCTGTTGTCAGCTCATAATCATGATAAAGCTGGTCTGGTCCCATGACTCGACATTGTGTGTCTGTAGTTGTGATCGTGAATAGACAGAATTGCATGTGGATAGAGCTTATCTGAATTTCAATACAATGTCAACCCCAGGGGAGGAGAAAAAACACAACCAAAAAGCCACTTTGCCGCACCAATTCCGGAACATCAGTCTGACCAGAAACTATTTTTTTTTCTTGGCCTTATATTGCTTACTTGAAATACTGTGATATAACTGTGACGTTATCCCCCACCTACATGTAGTTGCCTGGACATCTTTCTGGTGTGTCACCATATGTAGGTAGTTTTGGGGAGAGCGTTGGGTCTGCTAGTACACATGCATGTAGCATTCTACACTGTTCACAATGAGTCCCAACGCCGCTGGAGATGTGACAGAAATTGAATGCTGTTTCCGTCTGTGCCTAATGCCCCTATAAAGGAGCTGTGGGCATTTGTGCCAATCAAGTGGAAAGTTAATTGTGTGTTGCCACAGTGTCATAGCTGTGTTAATTATCAAATTCATCATTTGAATGCCAATATCTGAGGGTATGTAATTTCAAGGCATTCTGCAGGGAAGTCCATATGTTGTGAATAGATTGAAAGTATTATGCTCATTTTTCGAATAGGAGTGAGCCTCAGTTCATATTTTGTGGAATCTATTCGAAATCTACCCGAGTGTGCCACATTGTTTGCTCTGGTTGATATAAATCGATAATTTATGTTAATAGATTACTCTCAGCGACTGCGGCCGCTCATTCCATGAAGCAAAGCAAACAAAACCAAAAGAATGAATAAATATATTCTGATTCAACAGTCTGTAAATTTTGGGCGGTAACAGTTAGATATGTAAAATCTGGGACTAACTCGGTTTCACTAACCATCGATATTAATGTACAGATGTTAAATTGTATCAATTGTATTCTTCCGATCTGTTAGTTTTTTTGTTTGTTTTCGCTTTTCCTGTTGTTTTCTCTTTTTTTGCCTCAGAGTTGATCTCAGATAATTTGTCATTAGAAATAATTTACACTCAGATTCTGATGAACGCTGGCTGGGGAGCCTTAGTGTTAGTAATGAAGTGCAATATGTGCCGTTTGGGGGAAACTAATTTTTTTTAAGTGGGCTAGTGAAAGCTTTAATATTTTGAGACTTGCATGGCGTTTTGTACCCGGATACGTCCAACACTTCACTCTTATCACCCACTGTTCACTGGACTGTATCAAATTTGTTTTTCTTTAGTAGCTGGAGATCAGCATAATCAGTTCTCTTCCATTACAGTTACCTAAACTGCCTGGTTTCCTCTCCTGAGTGGAGAGAAGCCATCTGCCGCCAAGTGCCTTGGCCAAGGAACACAAGCACCTTGGTATCCATAGGGGTTCGAATCCACATACTATCGCCTAGGAGTCGAAGTCTGCACTGCAGTACTGAGATACGAGTGATAGATTCTGAACTAGCAATTCATTCTCTGTATTCTCCTTTTTCGTGGATGGTAGATTAATCTATAAATTTTACGACTTGCGTTTCAAGAGCAAAAGAAACCCGTTTTCTTCCGGCAATTTTTTTTTTAGTTTCTTTTTTTTTTCGCTTTTTAAAAAAAAAGTGTGTCATGTATCCGTTTTCAGTTCGTGTTGTGATAGCGTTTCATTTCAAGGATCAACTGCCTGAATTTCCAAGCGTAGTGCGGGTTAACATTTCTTGCATGAAGGCCAGTGGAATTACGTGTACAGTGTATATGCAAAAGCCAGGATGGTTTTGCTTGGTCGAGTCTCTGAAACGAAGTATAATAACAGTGAATGAGCATTTAATTACAAATGCTAATGAGTGCAAAATGGAAAGAACGCCTACAATTTTCGTCTCTACTCCTTATGTGCTTTATGGTATTGACTTGTCAGAGATCAGAGGAAATTCGTTAAATTAAAATTGTGGTCTTTCCGCCTCCCAAGGAAAGCAAACTTCGTGTTACCTTTTCGTCTGGAGTCCTATGAAGCCCGATAAACGTAGTTCTGAAGCACTGAATTCTGCTAACAGGGGCAGTTTAATCTAGCCCACAGTATGGGGCAACCTTCCTCAACTCACTGCGCAGCAAAGACCCTGGCAACACTGAAACTAATTAGCTGAATTTGGTTGAATGGGGGACCCTGTTGATGTCTGCTGACATGTCTTGGATACTAACAACTTTGGCTGTTAAATGATGGTGAAATCAGAGTGCTGGCAAAGTCGACACCTAAAGGTCGAAGTGGATTAAATTGGCAAAACAACTGCACCACTTTAAATTTGAAGACGATGGTGATGTCGTTATCGTTGTTATTTAATATCCAACATCCTGTTCCGCTGAAAGATACATTTTTGGAATCTGTTTGGTCGACATGGAACTAGATCTCGGTTTATTGTGGTAGAATCGCGTCAATCGATGAAAATAGAAAAAGCACTCACCGGATAGAATGTCCGAAGCTCTCTGGTGCGGAGCTTAGGACACTCCATCCGGTGAGCACTTCTATTTTTTTTCTACGTTTCTTTAACGCTTTACAGTGCTACGCAGCATTACATTTTGGGTATACATTGTAAGTATATACATGTATATTTCTTGACAACGTCCTGCCTGTGTGAGAAAAAAAGTAGTACTTCCCACTACAATAAATACCAATAATTTATTTTTTTATTGTAGGACATAGTTGTTGATTTACAACATACATGTAGGGCCTAGGCCCATGTCTCATAGGAGCTTCTTAAATCTAATAAGGAAATAAGAATTGTGCTTGGCCGCTCTTAAACGTGTGTTTAAGACTGGCTCAAGAGAATGGACGCGACTAATGCCCGAGCTGCAGGCGAAGACATTATCAGCGTTCATTCTCCTGAGCTCTCTGAGATCTTTATGAATATGATCTCGTGACCGTCAAGGAACGACCCATAGGGTGCGTTCGAGCGTGTTACTTGTGTTAACCTAAGAGTTCTCTTGATTCGAGAGTACTGCGCATGCACTATTTTCCTACACTCTGGAATCAACACGAGCAGCACGCACGCACGAACTCCCCATAAGAAAATTGACAACTGAATGATAAAAACACACATTATTTTTTCTTTAGTTATCTGTAAGACCACACATAATTTATGCACACGCTGCCGATCTAGTCTTTAAAATATCTTTGAATGCAACTGAACATCTATCTAACTGAAGCAAGTTCGAGAAACACGAACAGTATTCGATAAGGAATGACAGAAATCCTCCATTTACACCATCTATGCATCTGTAACACAAGCAACAAAGTTAGTCGCCACTGATATGCATTTCAATGAGCAAACGATGCGTATAGGCAGTGGTGCATGATGCGCAGACAACACGACGGGAGAGCTTTTATAAGTCCTAGATTTTACAACGACGCGACATACTCGATAGGCGCAGCATTGAGCCATATTGGAGGTTCTCCCTGTTCGCACAAGGAGATTGCTGTCGACACCATCTGGGGTCTTCGGACGCATTATAGACATGGCTACCGCCGCTTCTGCGGCAATGCCCTTTTCAGCCCTGTTGGTGGTTCTCTGGACGGTGGCTGCGTTGTCAACGGCAGCGACCGGTCCGCTGGAGTCGGTCTGCGTGCGCGAGGGCTCGGCCTCGGTGCACCTGTTCTCACTCGGCTCGCTCAACGACACCTCCCCGCCGGTGCCCCTCTCCCGCTACGCAGGCAAGGTTCTGCTCCTGGTCAATGTGGCCACGTACTGAGGCTTCACCACCCTTCAGTACCACCAACTGAATGCACTGGCGGAGCGGTACGAGGGGATGCTAGAAATCCTGGCCCTTCCCTGCAACCAGTTCGGTCTGCAGGAACCGGGCGAAAACGATGAGATACTGAATGGAGTCAAATACGTACGGCCCGGAGGTGGATTCGAACCCGCTTTCCCGGTCTTCGCCAAGATCGACGTGAACGGCAAGAAAGAACATGAGCTGTACACACACCTTAAGGTAAGCAACATGGGCGTTTTCACAACTGTGCCACCAAGACTTTGGAACGCGTTGGCCAATCACAACGCGCGAAATCTGTCGACCCTTTCCAAACGCGCGTTTGGTCGACAGATTTCGCGCACTGTGATTGGCCAACGCGTCGCAAACTCTTGGTGGCGCACTATTGTTAAAGAGCCGTATTTTAGTCATCTGTCAGGAATACATATATTCAGCGTGGACAGATTTCCGTACCTGGACGTCACTTAATTTGCACCCCGTGCAAAACCCTATGATATTTTGGTCCGAAGAATGGTTTCCAAGTAAATACCGGTACTGCAAAATTGTAACTAACTGCAGCTGTAAAGCTGACTTTTAGGACATGTCATCGCTTTCCTATGGCTCAAATATCAATAGAGGTAAAAAGTATTTATGACCATGGTTTAGAATTTTTCAAACACCGGCGTAACCGGAGCGACTGTCATAGAATAGCAGAGTACAATTATCACAATGCCTCTCGTAACCGGTGCAGGCCGTTACAAAATTATCGTGACCAGTACGAGCGTTGCCATGGTCATTGGATTCATCTCTGGTCATGTAAAGTCTGAAGAAGAACTGGGCAGTGTCAATTTGTGAACAGTTGCTTCCTAACTTCATTATCATAGAGATGACGTTCATCCCGTCCACCACGGATAATTAATGTGTCGCTGCTAAAGCATTGCTCATTAATTTCACGCGATCTATGACGCTGTCTGACACCAAGCTTAGTATGTGTTCACTTTCATGGCCGCCCTGTTCTGACAGCTACAGAGCCGCGGATGCCCTGTGGTTGTGCATTCCTTTGCTGTTTCTGCCCATCGAATGTTCCATGCGTCAAACGCGCATATTATACTTGCGCGCCTCATGGCGCGCCTGTGCGGTGAGTACCAAAAAAAAAAACAACAAAACAAAAACAAAAAACACGCCCTTTTTTGTTCCGCTCGGAGCGGAAGGCTAGCGATAATTCTATTTTGGGGTCAATATTGTAGTCAGAAATGCGTTTGAATTCAAGTTACGGGAAAGCTGCTTTGTACTGAATCCATTCCAATTGGGTTGTAAACACAACACATTATTTTGTACATCCGTTGTTACATCCGATAGGTTATTAAAACCACACCTAGTCAGTGAATTTTATATCTCTGTGAGCCAAGCCAAGGCTTGCATAGTAATCCTATATAGCCCAAATCTATAGAGCTGATAGCGATCCTCGAAAACGTAAAAAAATCAGACGTCTTAAGCTGTCAGTGTAGATTCTTGTGACTACAAAACACGGCAAGAATACGATCTTCCATTGACTGATCGTCTTAAGAAACCCTGCGTAAAGGATCAGTTTTGGACCTTGTAATCTGATTCGGGGAATCTTTGACATCGGACAACCATATGCTGTGTTAGGTAAAGTAGAGCCGTGCATAATCAGGGCTGATAATAATGCTATGGTGTTCACCGTGTGCGCTGGATCCATATGGCGGGATTATGTAAAATTTCCGTTCTCCAGTTATTGCTGTCGGGTGTCGGACACGCATGACAGACATCTTGTCATGGAAAATGATAAATGGACTAGCCTCTGTTTTAAAGCGATGCTGCCGTGCATTCGTGCGCTTATTATTTCATGTTCCGTTTGAGTGAATGTTAACTCGATGGAGGGAATGTTTCACTTCCATTCGACGTGAGGAAATGGCGGTTTGATAAGGCAGGAGTATCCGCTTCTTGACCATACCTTCGTGAGCTAGATCATGGAATAGTCAACAACTTGCCAGCCCTCTGTTGAGTCTTCTTATTTGAAGACCACAAAATTCACAGCAGATTCAAACGAAACTCGACGTATCTGCTTAGGAAAGTCTGAACTGAGGGGAAAATGGAGCTATCTACAAAAGTAAAACTTGAATGCCAAATTTAGCCACGAAGTGAATGAATTCAGCCAAGTTTGAATCAGTCCCTCGTGCCTCTTTAATTATGTTAGAAACTATCTACAGATCAAAGAAATACTGAATAAGAAAAAGTAGGAACAAACAATACAGGCGATTTCTTCCAGCTAGATTTTTCCCGTGACTTTCATGAATTATTCAGACACCGTCTACTATGTACGTGACTGTTTTCTGCATAAAACCGACTGGGACTATGCACTCGTACGTACGTCTGGTCGCGGACGTATTTGTACGAGCGTGTGCATTGAAAATAAACGTGTGCGTGGCATTGTACATTGCCTGTATTTAGTGTCATTTAGTACATCATACATGTAAAGTTTGGACCAAAAGTCAACATACACTTGGTAGAAAAACAGGTTTTCTGAACGTTCCACCATTTTAAATAGTCCTGCCAACTTTCTTTTCGATGAAGTCAGACAAACTGCATCTTTACTTAACCGTAACCCTCCTCAATCCTTCACCTGTTGGAGGACTGAGGAGTGTTAGGGTTAATGTCCATATTGTATAAAATACTCCGACACAATTGGTTCATAATACTCACATTGCTGTAAAATCAGTGGGTTAAGATTTACATACACCCCCCTTGCTGTGGTTCAAAACAATTACGAAAGTGACGTAAACAAGTTAGTTATGGCTTTTAAGTGGAGAAGTAAATGTATGATTTTTAAAGACTCGTTATGTTGGTTCCATAATGCATTCTGATTAATGCAAATCTCTTCCCTGACCTGACCTTTAAAACAGGATTCATCTCGGATTGACTTTACGGTCCAGAAGCTTGTAGAATACGAGATATGAAGGAAAATCATAGTAGAGGCAATGTCGCTATTGGGATTGGTGTGTGTAAACGTTTGTCCCTCTGGTTTTCTGGGAATATAAACTATTTAATAGTTTATAATATCTACCATATGCTCTGCGTATCCAAAAGGTAATCCAGCTTCAGGGGGTTAATATGTCTGGTTTAATCAGGCGGAAAAGTTATACATGTACGCATGTTGTTAAGCAATTAAAAACAGCTTGTCGGCTTTCCAGTGATATCTTCATTTGCCCCGCATGACCGAGTACAGCTGTTATTGAAAATGGCAACTTCGAATACCATTTTTGCAAGTTTGGGCGATCACTGCATAACAGGATGATCGTTGAAGTCAGTTTGATGACCCTGGTTTTCTCCAGTATTGATTGCAATACCATGGGCCTCTTCATGCACACCTTCAACATGTCCACTTGTCCTTTCAACACAAAGCGAACAGTCACGCAGTATGTCCTGCCCCACTCGCCTCACCATAGCCAGATCATTGCGCAAAGCATCCTCTTCATTTTCAGCCACAGGTCAACTGCGTAACCTAATTGTCATTCTGATTAACCTGGGCATATTAACCCCCTGAAGTTGGGTTACCTTTTTTAATACGCACTGTAAGCCAACATTTCTCTGAGTGTTATTTGATGGATGCGTTATGTATGTAAAGTACAAACCCGACTTGTCCCTCCTCATGAAAAGAACGTTTGGTCGGAATGAGTGAAATTCAGAAATTCTGAGAAAGAGTATGTCTTCCTGGTGTACGTAAACATTTGGCCCAACTGTAAATAATTCTAACCACGGGCTATTAGTGCTGTGAAATTTCACGTTAACTTGCAGTGTTGTGATTGCAAACAGACTTAATTGTAAACTTCTGTAAAGTTTTTACGACATCGAAATTTAAGAAGCTATTACGTTGTGATAGTGTTTTCTTGGAGGTGTCTATTTTTTGGCTGATTTTATCTCTTTATTGGTGAAATTTGTACTTGCAACTTTTGTTTCTGCGTCTCTCATTAATGCTTACAGAGTGTCTGCCCACCTGTCAAACTGGAAATCGGCGACAAGTCCAAACTTTACTGGTCGGACATCAAAATCGGAGACATCACGTGGAACTTCGAGAAGTTCCTGGTTGGAGGAGACGGCCAGGCCTACAAACGCTACGACCCGAGTATCCATCCCAAGGGCATCGAGGCAGACATCGAAGGCCTGATCTTGCGGGAGAGGCTCAGATCTGAAGAGGAACGCCGGGATTTCGAAGCATTTCTTCACGAAAAAGTTTATTAAAAATCGTCCAATCCCTGATATTTAGAACTTAAAGGCCTGCTTATGCATTCGGTTTTGCTACAGAATTCAAAAATTTATTGTTTTTCTTAAAATCATAATTAAACAACGCACACATTGGTTTCGGATTCGTGTCCAATATGGATTACTGGGATCTGTATTTCTTTTATTTTTATTTTTTATTTATTTACAAACTGCAGGAAGTTGCTGGATGAAATACGTATTTCTGTTAAAAAAAGTATATCCTCGACATTGCTACAAAACTCGTGTTCAGAATGAATTAATCTTGACTTTATTTAAAAGCAAACTTGGAAGTATTTATCTTATAAGATCGAATTTTATTGACTATATTCTCACGTAGATGAATTCTTATTCTCATGAAGATGACTTTTTATAACCTAATTCTCGTCCTCGTAAACTTGAGAATTACTTAAAACAATTCTAATATTAAAACATAGACCACGGCAATGAATTAGGGGATTTCCAAGGCTGTTGCCGAGCACAGCCGATGACGAGTCGGTCTTAAACCGCCATTTTCCGGCGGCAGACCGGACTCCGACGTTCACCAGGACGCGGTGCCTTTGTGCATTCGGGCATCCGATCTTGGTGACTGTGCGAAGGCATACAGCAACCGGGGAGTTCACACCCGTCCTCAGACTTCCCTCTCCCGTCACAGAAATGAAAGGAAATCAGTTTAATGCATTCTGTGGTCCAAATTTAAAGCCAGGTCAGAATAGTCTGTCGGTGATAAAGTGGTCTTGACTGTGCAATAAAAAGGTACACCCTGACCCGATTGACATCGGTCTTGCCTGCCTTTAGATGTCCAAGTTACAACCCGACAAAAGGGATCCTCCATTTTAGTTTGTCACGCATTCAAAATTAAGTCAGAAAAGCTATAGAGGGATCCCAATACGATGCCTTCAGCGTCGGTCTGCGCACTTCCTCGTTTGAAAACGAGGCTCTATGTGTCAGCTTCAATTCTTAATACGATCAGACGATTGAAAGTCAAGACACAAAATACATAAAGGTATGTTAAATTCAGATTTTTCAGGCTGCAAATTTTTGTGGAAGAGTCTTTCAGGATGACTCGACACTTAAAATCAAAAGGCATACATGAAATACTTTCCTTGTCCTTCTCGAAGCCCAAAGTACCTAAGCATGTAATTTTTCTTTACATTTCCTGCCAGCACAACGCAGGTGTTGAACTGTGTCTGGCTTCTTGATCACAACCTACAGAGCATTAAAGTAGAGGATCACACGGCGAGCTTCTGGAGCCTCGCACTGCCCGCCAGGTGATCGCTCCGAGGTCTCCTGCAGAACGCAGGACAGGCGCCCTCTCTATTGCTCAGAAACTGTACGGGTGGGAAACTCAAGAGAGCGCTGTTGATCCTGACAGCACAGCGCGCGCCGCGGCCGTGTGAAGAGTAGAGACCAGCTCTGTGGTGGTACAGCCCTGGACATATGTGAATTCTCATCGCAACATGGATTATACTGTCAGGGACACCTTACCTTACGGGTGCACCCCAATAAATAAATTCCCTTTGATGGCAGTGATATATTCCCTTAATTTAAAAATTCTTTTTAAATGCAACTCTTACAGGTGTTCAGGCTGGACAGAAGCATAATGTTCGGCATGTCCTTTTTCATCATTTTCCTTTTAATTTTAGTGGGATGACCAATGAATTTTCGAGAAATTCTCACCCGAAGCAGACCAAAGGAGGACATTTCCCTGCCCAGAGTAGTAGCCATTTTGAAAATGCATCCCTTTGCAAAACGGCTAAATAGTGTCACTTGCGGACCCGATTGCATCCAAATTGCTCCCAATTGGAAGCGCTCAGTTCAGGCCAGAGTTTCAGTGCCATATTTCTTCAATCCCCCAATTCCATGGCTCCAGAACTCTCTAATATAGGATATCTTGAGTGTGTAACTTTTATTAATGGACTCGGCGGACGTACAATGTATTCATGGCCTACTTATGGGAGTGCACCCTTTATTAAGATGCCCTATTTGCATCAGCCAACGTGCGTCAGGTGCTAAAGTTGACGATTGGGTGCATTGTGTTACTGATAGCGCGTTTGGCATACCCTCACGCTGAGAGGGCAGCCTGTGTTATTCGAATGACATTTGGGCGATTGTTTGGTTAAATGTATTTTGGCTTTGCTTGTAAAATTGAAACGGAGTCTGCAAATCAGTTTTTTTTATCAGTGATAAGAATCCGAAGGTTAACTATTCGCCCTCACGCACCACCATTAGGCCTATAGAAGAATAACCGTCTTTAGTTGTCCAAGCAAACTGGGTGAAGAGCACAAAACGAGTGGAGTACTGTCTACCGTGTGCTTCTGTGCGGTGAGCATTAACCCTCTGCCCACATACCCCAGGGTGTCGTATAACTGGTTGAAGTGCAAGACTAGTGGAAGTTTCCTGAAACATGTGTTCATCTGGGCAACATCGTACGGCATTTTAGAGCAGTTGCCAAATACCTTTTGAACACAACAAAATAATTAGAAAGACATTTTCTCCCGTCATATTTCCCTATTTACTTATGACAGTTAATTAAAGAAAATTCTAAATTCAAAGATAATCTAAGGAGACGCTACACGTCCATCGATATCACCGCATTCACGCTCGCGTTCTTTTATCCAAAGTTGCGTCACTCTAGTGGTTGAGGTGGAATGTGAAGCGAGTGTGCCACCACAGCGCGAGTCCTGAGTCCTGCAGCCACTCACAGACCCAAAATACCTGTCTGGCAGTTAATGTTTGAGATGCTATGGCAAAAATGGCTTCCGACAGACCGATTGCGCCCGCTAAATCACGTGACCTAAAAGTGGGTACGAATGTCATCAAACACGCCGTCCACCAAAAGCGAAGTGTTTTCATAAGTATCATTTAATCAAACGAAGGTGAGTACCGTACTCAGACTTCTGATGCGCTGGGCACTGTACCGTAACTTG